GTCACTCTCATCTCATTTGCTTCTCCCTTTTATTCCCTTCTCTCCCTTTTTCTCGAGGGTTTCTTCGAAAGTATATTCCCACTTCTTCAAGTAGTTTTGATCGTATCTAAGTAAATAAAAATTATAATTATATTTTTTAAAAGATGAAAAATTTCATACCTGTTAAAAAAATTTACTAATACCTTAATTAATCAATAGCTAGAACTATGTTTTGATTGGCTAAATAAATAAAGATTATTTTCTGTATACATATAGTCGCACAAATTGTATACTATCATAAATAGCTACTTTGAGTATTATACCATTTATCGAGAGAGTTGAGATTTATCAACTAAACACAGCATCACATATGAGAATCCAAGAAAAACAAACCATCGTATTTTCATATATATCACACAAAAAGGTTTTCAAATGAAAATTTAGGCTTTCTTTTTTCTTTCTCTTAATGAGGAAATGAATGGGAAGTATACTATACACAATGTAATTTAATAAAGGAAGGGGGGAAAAAGAACTTGGGAGCTAATAATTGCAAGATTGAAATGGAAATAGATTGATTTTCCAAAGGGGAAGAGCACTTTCTCATGAAAATGGTGCATCAAATATTTTGTCAACAAGAGGGTGGGAAAATGGAGCATATATATATATATATATATATATATGTATTATATATGTATATATTTGAAATTGCAACCCCACTTGTTTTGCCCTGTTTGGAATTGGATATACACTAAACCAAAACCAAATGGGCCCATTTCTCTTTAGTCTTTGATACAATTCCTCACTTTATATGTTTCCTTTGCATTATTCAATGTTCACTTTATTTTCCCTCTCTCTCTCATTGCTTCAAATCATTCTCAAATGCCCACCTTGGAACAAGCTAAAACCCACAAGCACATTGTTCTAAATTTCATACAAAAAGGAAAAGCACATTCTTACCTTACCTCCCATTTCAAATGAAAAGAAAAAAAAAAGGGGAAATCAATCTAATTTGATTATTATATGTAACAATATTGGATGTAACTTGTGAGCATATATGGCCTAAGTTTCCACACCATCATCATGACTTTACCATATGAACTCATGCAATATATCACCTTTAGGGAAAGAAATTGTTTTGGGAACGACCCAATTTTCTTTAGACCAAAGTTGTCACACGTTTCAAAAAGCTTACGATGAGTTTTAAACATTTTGAGTATTAATAGTCTTGTATTCTGATTTTTTTAACTTGTTAGAAAGAATAAATCTCAACTTCTAATTCTAATCGTGATATAACATAAAATTCAGTTATCAATATATATAGTATAATATTGATTTATATTCAAGACTTTCGTACTTATTTTATTTTGGTATATGTTTTGCGTGAAATGTACGAAGTTCATTAAAGTGAGGCCAAATAAGAGAGGTGTGTTGAACTGCTCCAAATTAGGATGAAGCACTCGACCCAATCCTGTTGAGTCAGTTCACCCGAACCAATCAGAGACGGAGACTCTCTCTATAAATAATAAGAGAACCCTAGGGTGCAAGGTATGTCTTTTCAACTTAACTTTTTGCTACTCTCGTCTTAACTTTTTGTCTGACTTCATCAAAGCGTGTTGAGCTTAGCACTCCATTGATGAGCAGATGTTGAATGTTCCAAATCTTGCATCAACCGTCTCTAAACCTCGAGCAGTATATTTTAATCTTTGAATTTTACACATAAAAACCATTTTAATATTTCATGTTGATTTTTAAATAAATCATTTAACAAAAACCTCATATGCTTTACCTCTTTTATTCATAACTTGATTAATAAGTGTTTGAATGGACAACTATTCAACCCAACCACCACAGGTAGTAGGTTAAGAGTCAGAATTATAAAAAGATATAATTCTTACAGAAATAATTAATAAAAAAGTTAACAAGAAAAATAATAATTTTAATGCAAACTTTGGAGGACAAAATTAAAATATAAGACTATATATAAAATTTAATCTTGTGGGTTATGATGATATCTGAATTATAAATTTCCTAAACAAAAAAAAAAAAAACCCCAATGAGCATGATGATTATGGGACAGATAGGGTGTTTTAATTTTGATGACAACAAAAAAGTTAGAACAATTAGACTATAAACAAAAAAAAATACATATTTATTTATTTATTTATTTATATAAATATGAATTGGATGGAATGTTCCGCCGTAACCTCACTATATTTTGTCCATTCAAAGAATACTTTTTTTTCTGAAGCAACCAATTATGGAAAAGCAAATGGAACCCACCACAGTCAAAATTTGTATTTAAAAAAAAAAGAAAACCTGTGAAATTGGGAGCGGTGGCGGGCGACGGCGGTTGGCGGGTTTCAAGGTGGCAGAGCTGCCGCTTGGACGGCGGCCGGAGTGCCGGCTGCAAACTGTTGCGCGTGGTCTGAATCTGACCACCCATATGAAAATTTACATCATTCCTCTTTTTTTCTCCACACTCAATTTTAATTTAACACCTTCCTAGGGTTTGGTGTTTTCTTTTGGAAAAATAAAAATAAACAATTTATAAATCTCTTTCAATTTTGTCATTTCAAAAGTTTTAAAAATATCCTCTCAACAACGTCGAATATATTGAACATGACGATCGACGTGGTAGCAAAGCTTTCAATTTTATAGTAAAAATTTGTTTACCTATTGTCTACCTAATTTTGTCATAAATTTTATTTAAAAAATAATAGTTTCTTCCATATTTTGTTTATTTTCAGAATTAGTCTAAGTAAATTTCTACATTACTTGCTTGTTATATCTGTTACGTCAATTTTTTATATAAAATATAAACAGATGTATGTTCAAAGTGCGTTTCAAATTGAAACGTTTAAAAAGGTCTCTGGTAGTGTTGAAATTTTTTAAATGATTTAGGTCTTTATGGAACAAAAGGCAAAGTTCATGAGTATTTTTTATTTTTTATTCTAGTCTTACTAATTTGGTGTTTAGTTCCTTATAATTTTAAAAGTATTGGTTCTCATCACACGTTTTCTATATATCTAGTAATGAGTTAATATTTTTTATTTAGATAATTATGTTAACATCGACTATATTAGAATTTAAGTTGAGTATAAAAAAAATAAATTTTATTGCTAATAAGACTCGTTCTATCGGTCAAAATATTACTTACTTCCCAAAAGATCAAAGATTTAAATCTTCCCCAAAATAGAAATTCCTTCTATTATATTATAGTATTGAATTGTTTCCTAAGGCTTTGTGTATTTATACATAATCACATAATTGTCTAGTTTATTATTTTATTTACTAAGTTTCTTGTCCCTTTAAATGCTAGTATTGTAGCTAAAAGTGAGTGGAAGTTGTAGGGAAAGACCTACACCAATAGAATTATTTTTCATTGTTATAATTATAGGTTATATATATAGTTATGTATGACCCTATTACAATAGGTCTTTGACACTCTAAAATATTTTTTTATGTATTAATTATCTGTTAATGTGAACAATTTGTAAGAACATGTCGAAAATTTTAAGAACATATTAAAAGTATTAAATCTAATAACTTATCAATTTAAGTTTTTATAATTGAATTTTTATGATATTAGAGCTACTAAAAGTGACTAAAAAACTTTGTTCAACCTTGTGTTTGGTGGACACTGTTCATTGTGATCATTATGAAATTTATGAGATTCAAATTCAACCATATTATAAATATCTTTCCATTCCTCCATGGCCCCTTTTCAATGTATATATATATATTTTAGAATTCAATATAATTAAATTGAAATTTTATAAGTTTTATTAGAGTACTTTAATTAAAATAAGAAAAGTGGAGATTTAAAATTGAATCATCTTTAAGTTTAAGATTGCAATTAACTTGTTGGAATATAAAAATGGAAAAGTGAAAAAAAAAATATGATAATTAAATTCTTAAAATCAGAAGCTATATATTGTGTTTATAAATTAGAAAAAGAAATTAACACATCATGTGAAAGGGAAATAAGTTAAAATGTTGGTTGGGAGAATAAATTTCATAACTTTACTTCCATGTTTGGCTGCAACATAAGTTACTGCTGCCATTTCCTTGTGAGTTTCTCATAAGTTTATAAATCTACATCCCATTTTTCTCTATTTAAATTATAAATATGAGTAATTTTTTTTTGTAACAAAAATATGAGGAGTAATTATTTTGAAAGTTATCTTATACTTTTTCAATCTTATACTCTCAATTAATTTCTGTTATCGTAATTAACTATTAATTTCCAATCCATCCATAAATTTTTGGGTTGGGTGATGGTCTATTAATACTTAGCGTCAATGAATTAGTTTGTCGAAATGAACATAGGTCTAACACCTATCTCTGACCAAAAGATCGTGAATTCAAATTCACAACCTCACATGTTACACTTGATCGATTGTTGCTCCAATAGTATATTACAACCTTAAAGGACACAGAAAATAAGCTAAAATTTTTGTTTGAACTTCCTGAATTATTGGTGTCTCCCAGTCAAAATTCTAAGCTAAAAAACATCCCACATTGGTCCAGAAACTGCCTTTTCCCCCTCCCTCTTTCAATCATTATTTGAGAAAATTTTGGTTTTGGTACCAATACAATATTTTTGGTATAGTTTAGTATTCATTCTCCATCTCCACCTGTCTCTTCTTTGGCAAAGTGTCCATTTTTATGTTTTTTTTTTGTGTCTCTCTCTTGATTGTTGCAGTAATTACAGGGGATTTTTGCAAAACACAAATAAAGTTGAAAGCTTGATTAGTTTAAACAAAAATCTGACTCAAGGGAAAGGAAAGAACACAAAATCCAATGTGTTAGAGAAGAGAAGGGGCAAGGGCTAAGGCTAAGGGCAGGGGCTTTTGTGAAAATTACTGTGGCTTCTCCCCCAAACATTCCTTGGCTAACAAAAGAAGAAAACAAAAAACAAAAAACATAAAACATGTAGTACTAATACACACATTCGCTTTATCTTTATTGCCTTCTTTAGCTTGCTTTTGCTTTGATGGTAGACCAAAACAGGGAGGAAGAAGAAGAAGGAAGAAGAGGGGCAGTGCAGGGCTTGGCTTCCCTTATGGCTTTGCTGACTGAAGGGGGCAGCCTTTGTTTCGCTGACCCTTTGGTTTTTGAGGGTAAAAGCTAAATAAACGACATGCCCGTTGCTCCATCATGTTGAGTCTGTCTTAACTAGAATTAAAAAGGAAAAGGAGGGAGAGGAGAAGAGAGAGAGACCCTTAACACTGACTCACTCTCTATTTCTTTCTCGTTTCTCTCTCTTCTCTCTGCACTTTATACTGTTCAAATTCGATACTTTGCTGTTTTTACAGAGAACGAGGCCCTTTGGGAGCACAAGACAGAGAAAGAGAAGCTCTATGAGCTTTATATCTCTCTAAAACTTTCTCTCTCTCTCTCTCTCTATTCTTATGTCTTTGCCTCCCACATTGTCTTCTTCTACTACTTCAGAATCTCCCCCTCATTTCTTCACTCACCACTTACCACAAGTTTTCTCCTCTGCCTCTGTTTTGTTTCCTGGGTCTACTGAAAGGAAGGGATTTTGGGTTTTGGAGTTTGGGGTTTGGGGTTTGGGGTTTCATCTTCCCAAGTCTTTGGAGTTTCTGAGCTTTGTTTTGGGCTTGTGGGAACGACCCAGAAGTTTTGGCTGGAGAAGAATCCTTGTCCATTTTATGGGGTTCTGATTGTTCTTTTGATGATCTGAAGCGAAACCCCCAAATTCTGAGTGGGGAGAGAATACTAGTGAAGCTGTATGAAGTAGTGCTGGAACAATGAGAGATGAGAATTCTAAGAAAAGCAAGGTTTTTGTTCAATTTCTTTAAAACCCCATCTGTATACTGTTCCAATTTTTTTTCCTTCTTTCTCTAGTTTCCTTTTTTATGCAAAAAATGGGAATCTGATTGTTTTTTTCGTTTGCCCTTTTGGTTTGAAGCTCTCTTGGTCCAAGAAAATGGTCAGAAAGTGGTTCAATATCAGGTGCAAAAGCGAGGATTTTCAAGCAGATGATGTTGCTTATAGAGGTCGGTCTTTTAAATTTCCCCAAGGCTCGATAATTCTTCTTTTGTTTGATCAATTGGATTGCAAAAACCCCAACTCTTTTGCCTTCTTGAAGCTCCAAAATTTTGATTCTCGAATTCGTCGAAAAGGGACTATATAAAACCCATGAAATCTTTCGTTTTCTGCTTCTGGGTTAAATCTTTTTAAGTTTTTTTCCCCCAACAATGGCAACGTTTTTTCTTCTGCAGGAGGTGAAATGGATTACAGGAGCAGCAGCTTCTCAGAGAGGGAACCATGCACCATCAAGAAAAGCAAAACAGGTTCATAAACATAGCCACTCCAGCGCTTCTGAGAAAATTCTTTACCAAAACTTGGTTCGTCTTCTTCCTCCTGACATTTTGTTCTATCTTTTCATCAATGCACAGAGAAATTCAGCAAAAATGGCGAGCCAGGGCGGCGAGGGAAAATGAATCTTGACCATCCTCGTATTATTGATGTGCAGAACTATAGGTAAAGATGATTGATATATATATCTCTCCCTCGAGACATATTTTTTCTTCTTTTTCTTGCATTTTGGTTGGTTTTGACTTGTGAACTGAGTGGTATTTTCTTCAGCATTTTTGTTGCTACATGGAACGTGGCTGGAAGATCTCCTCCTAACAATCTAAATCTGGACGATTGGCTTCATTCTTCACCTCCTGCAGACATTTATGTTCTTGGGTATGAATTAAGATACACATTTTCTCACATCTTTTGCTTCGTTGTTTCGCCTGGGATTTGGAGAAGGGAATATGTTTGGTGAGTTTCTTCTGTTCTGTCTTTCAGATTTCAGGAGATAGTGCCATTGAATGCTGGTAATATACTAGGTGCAGAAGACAATGGCCCTGCTAAAAAGTGGCAGGCTCTCATCCGAAAGACTCTGAACAATCTTCCGGGAACAAGCGGGGGTAATGCGTGTTATACGCCATCTCCAATACCAAAACCCATTGTGGAGATAAATGCAGATTTTGAGGGGTCTGCTAGGCAGAAGAATTCATCTTTCTTCCATCGTCGATCATTTCAAACGACCCACAGTTGGAGAATGGATAATGATCCTTCAATACCACAGCCACGACTTGACCGTAGATTCAGTGTATGCGACCGTGTGATCTTCGGTCATAGGTCGAGTGATTTTGATCCTAATTTTAGATGGGGACACAGGCCAAGTGACTACTGTAGGCCAAGTGACTACTCAAGACCAAGTGACTACTCAAGGTCTAGCGACTTTTGCAGGCCAAGTGACTACTCTAGGCCGAGCGACTTTTGCAGGCCAAGTGACTATTCCAGGCCTAGTGACTGCTCAAGATGGGGCTCGTCAGATGACGATAATGTTCCGTGGGAGTCACCAAGCACTGTTTTATTCTCACCAATGTCCCATGGTGGATCCTCATCCCAGGATGGTGGATATAGAATGCCAGGACATTCAAGATATTGCTTAGTTGCAAGCAAGCAAATGGTTGGCATATTTCTCACAATATGGGTAAAAAGTGACTTGAGGGATCATGTCCGAAACATGAAAGTTTCTTGTGTTGGTAGAGGATTGATGGGCTACCTTGGAAATAAGGTATCGATTATTAGATAAAATAGCTATTTCAGTTTCATTTTCTAGCTTCTTGAAATTTTTTTGGTTAATTGAAATGTTCTGATCTACTGCAGGGATCGATTTCTATCAGCATGTCTTTGCATCAGACAAGCTTTTGCTTCATTTGCACTCACTTAACATCCGGAGAGAAAGAAGGTGACGAGCTTAGAAGAAACTCCGATGTGATGGAGATACTTAAGAAGACAAGGTTCCCACGAGTTCACAGTGCAGGCGACGAGAAGTCCCCAGAAACGATCCTCGAGCACGAGTAAGATATTTCTCATCCTCACCCATCAGAGACATCTGCAGACTGAATTTAGTTAGATGGCATCTCTTTTTGATTTGAAGTCGATAATATATATGGATTTGTTCGTGTTATATTTTTATTTTAGGTCATTATTCTGACCATCTTAAGCTATCTTGCAGTCGTGTTATTTGGCTCGGGGATTTGAACTATCGGATTGCTCTTTCTTACCGTTCCGCCAAGGCACTTGTGGAGATGCAAAACTGGAGGGCATTGCTTGAGAAGGATCAGGTATGACCACATAACATCTCATCTTCAAAAATACTTTGGAAGTGAACCCAAATGCATGGTTTTAGTTATTTAGTGAAGGAGAAACTCTCCGTTTACAACACACTACTTCGCTATACAGTTACGAATTGAACAAAGACGAGGGCGTGTATTTGCTGGATGGAATGAAGGAAAGATCTACTTTCCTCCCACATACAAGTATTCAACTAATTCAGACCGATATGCAGGGGAGGGCGCTTATCCCAAAGAGAAACGTCGTAAGCCTGCTTGGTAAGTCCATCTTGCCAGCCATTTTACTTAAAGTTCAATTCAAAGAAATCTAAATGAAGCTAACACAAAGGCCAGGCCATCAAGTATCAGGGCTGTGAGGAAACATGAATTTTTCCCTATCAATTCAGCATTCTGATTTTCATATTGTGTTTACAAAGGTGCGATCGGATATTGTGGCACGGAGAAGGCCTCCATCAGTTATCCTATGTCCGTGGAGAGTCAAGGTTTTCCGACCATAGACCTGTTTATGGAGTTTTTTGGGCTGAGGTCGAATCCAGCCGAGGGAGATTAAAGAAAAGCATGAGTTATTCAAGTTCCAGGATTGAGGTCGAGGAGCTTCTCCCGTACGCACATGGATACACTGAACTAAACTTTTTCTGAAAGTGAGATCAAATGGCTACAAAATCCAGCCATAAATAGAGTGAGGCCTGTGGAAGAACTTAAAAGTAAGCTATCCCCATTTTCACCAACCTTTATAACTAAGCATTCAAGCCCATCGTTCTTTTTTTTCAGCTGACCCAACAAACTTTGTACATCACAATCCTAGAAAAGAATTTTCCTATAAGATTCCTCTCATGAAAGGAGACTGATATCTTGCCAGCATTCAGTTATAAACTAGATTAGGATTTGTTTGAATCTCTCCTTTACAAAGCTTTGTTCCACTCTTCCCATAATTCAACCCCTCGAGAAAGCTATATCTGATTTGATTGCAAATCTGGTCCCAGATGGTGGTGGAGCTCATCCGTGAAGGCTGATGGTGACATTTCATAGCCCACAGTCCGAAAAAGTAAGCTTCTCGCGCCCGCTTTTTCTTACTTTGTGTTTTTTTTTTCTTGGTTTCTGCTGTTGTGGGGTCTTGGCTTGTTTGTCTCATATTGTTTTTTGCTCTTTTATCAGGTTCTCAATTCAGGAATCCCTCTCTTTAGGTTAGCTAATTTCACTGACCTTCCTTCCCAACAACACCCATTTTGCCTTTGGTCATCATTATATCTTGTTAGCTGCTGCTGCTGCCTGCTGAGTTTACTCACTTTTTAGTACAACCTGCATAATTCGGTCTCCTAATCGACGACGATTAGCTTTCAGGTAATGATTGTTACACCCATCGAGCACTCCTGCAGTGTATCACTTTAGTCAATTTGCTGATTACTTCTGTACTTAAAAGAATGATTGTGGTTTCTTCATGCTCTAATCATGAAAAAGCTTGTGTTTTTGCAGGACTGAGGAAAAACTCATCCAGAACGGCGCAATGCCATGTGGATCGACTAATATTTTTGCCCCTCTTGATTTTTTTCCCCCCATCTTCATTTCTTGATTCTTTTTCTCTCTGTCTAGGAAAATACACATTGGTTGCTAAATACAAGTGAAAGGTAGTCAAGTGAATGATTTGTAGCACTTTTTTTTTTCTTTTCTTCCTCAAATCCAAAAAGAGCAAAAGAATCAATTGATGTATGATATTGTAAAAGAAGTGAAACCAAATCCCCCCCAAAAAAAAAGTTAAAGAAAAAGATTATTTTGTTACAGTGTGAATTCTGAATTCCCCTCTTCTCTTGTGGTGCATTTCATCACTTTTACTGAAAAAAGTTGGTTCTGTTGATTGTCTTCTCAGGCATGCCATCTTCATCCTCCTGCCATCCCATTTTTTTATTTAAGAATAAAGAAAAGCCTTCTCTTTTTTCATAACAAGCCAGCCTGTGATGGCAATGAAAATGAACAAAACTAGAAAGAAAAAGCAGAGGACAAAGTTGCAGGTTTGGCAGCAATGGAAGCCAATATTCAGAAGGAACTTTTGTTTTTGTTTTTTCTTTCTTGCACATCTTCAAAACTGCTCCCCACTGGTTGACTAAAAGTGAAAGAATAAAAAGAAAAAACCCAAAGAATTGTAATCATGGCTAATCAATCCCTCAATTTAAAAGCAGAATTGTCYGACTGTGTTTATGGGATCCACAAAGAAGCACACTGCCAGAGAAAGAACCAACCAAGTGCTGCCATTTTTTTGTTGCAGTTGTGCAGCCATGATTCTGTCAAAACATGCTTCACATTTGGCTGTGGAGGAGCATGGAAAAGTGTTGTTAGACATAAAAGGAGAAAACCCACATCAAAATAAGTTGAAGTCAGTGTGGTGTGGGAGGTCAACTTGTGAACTTCTATCATTAAGGTGAAAGCCTCAAAAGACTGAAAACTCCATTGCAAATTTACAGCACTCAAAATGGAATGTGTAGATATGATATTTGATTTCAAACATGATTGTTGGAATTCCATTCCATARTTAAAATAGTAAATACCCATATTATCTTGACCAATGATAAAGTTTTCACAGGTAGGAGAGAAAAATGTAGAAAGAGAGATATTTATTATACAGTARCGAGATAAGTGTTTACTTATGAGTACCAGAGTATTATTCTTGTTAAAATGGATTTTTGTCAACAATTTGAATCTTAAGTCCCGTCACTTGAGCAAACAAAAAACAAAAATCCTAAAAGTTGGGGTTGTTTGAGAAATAATATTTTGTTTTTGTTCTTTTAACTAGGTTAAATTTATGGATAGTTTCTATTCTTTTAGGTGATTCTCGAATCTCGATTTGGTCCTTAATTTTTTAAATTTTCAATTAGGTCATTCCGCAACAAATTTATTAAGAAAAAATTGATATATCATTGAATTATTATTTTAGTAACATACTTGGACATGCTACTTGACACATAAAACCTGACCTGTCCATCAACAAAATTATTTTATTTCAAATGGCTTGTTCAAGTGGTATGCTCACATGTTCAAATATGTTAATTCAATAATATATCAACTTTCTAAAAACAAATTTTATTAGTTTTTGTTGAAAATGACTTAATTGAGAATTTTTGATACATTGAGAGTAGGACGAAGAATTAAAGTATAAACAGGTTTTTATCGCCAACATGAGTATAACTTAGTGGTAATTAGAATGTATTCCTTCTATTGAGATTTTAAAGATTCGAACTCCTATATTCCCATATTGTTTTATTAAAAATAAATAAATAAGACATTTTTTGTGAGCTAAAAGTTGAGGGCTTGTTTGAGAAATTTTTTTTTTCTAATTAGAACTGTTCTATAAACTTTAATTTTTATTTAATGTGGTTAATACAAAAATCGTTATTAAATTTATTTATGAAAATGATCAAATGCAAGCAATTTATGAAAATAGCCCGCAATTTATGAAAATAGCCTTTGAAAAATGGCGCTTTGGACTGGACTTTGGAACTCCATCTGATTCTCGCATTTCATAGCAAAATAGTCCAATTAAAAAAAGATTCAATTAGAGGAATTGCAAATATATATATATATATATATWTATATTAGATTTGGTAAAAATCACTTTTCGATATGATATTAAATGTTATTTTAGAGAAATATATCCCTCAACAAAAAAAACCTATATACAAGCAAGACCCAATAGGCCAGGGGTGGGATAATGAAATTTAATTTTGTGTATATATATCTCTATAAACAATTTAAAATTAGTTTTTCCATGCACTATAAAACTTTATGTTAAATAATAAATTTGGTAAATCTTGTACAAATTATTTATTTATTTTATTATAGTTTGGATATAATTTCATTTGATTCTCGAGATTATATAAATTTTAAATTAGGTATTATAACTTGCATTCAATTTCAATTTTGTCTTTATAGTTTKAAAGGATTCACTRTAATCCTCATAGTTGGCTGAATCTCACAAATGATAAGTGGTGCCACTAAAAATGATTGATAAACTGTTTGTGAAGTTAAATCAATTGGAAAAAATTTTAAATCATAAAATCCCAAGTTATGACTTTTAAAATCAAAGTGATGAAATTTAAATAATAGAGCTGAAATCATCCGATCAAATTTATGATTTAACAAAATTTTTATGTTTATAATATTTGATTTATTGTCTTTTCAGTTTTCAAAAAATATTTGATTTATTGTATAAATTTCAATTATATACAAATATATTATATTATATAATTGAATTACAAAAAAAAAAGAAAAAAAATGGTAAAAAAAACCAACTTRGATTCGATCATGGGCTAAACCTTTTTAAATAATTCTTATCAAATCTAGGTGAGTATCACAGAATTTTTAAAATTTTAAAATTGCAACCCCAGTTCTTTTTTTTTTTTAAATATATTATAAATTTCATCCGAGGTCTTCCCTCATGAAGCTGGTTTTGTAAGCTCTGGGTCATACCTGAAGTCTTCCCCGTAAACTTGGTCATACTCGAGGTCTTCCCTCACAAAACTAGYTGAGTAAGCTCGGTCATGCCCAAGGTCGTCTTCCTTCATGAAACTCGCTCCATAAGTTCGGTCATACCCGAGGTCTTTCCTCATGATCAAACTTGCTCCATAAGCTTCGTCATATATACTCGAGGTCTTCTCTCGCGAAGTTTGCTTAGGCAGCTTGACCATACCACTTTAACCTGGTCAAAATTCGACATCAACAAATTAATTTCGTGAGGGTGAGRCATCAGTATTTTCATCTCCACTTAATGACAAATTCCCGTTATTAATGGGAGGAGGCGATGGGGAAGAGAAGAGAAGATCGAATGGTGGTGGGGGTGGCTGCAAGATGAACCAAAGAAGAATGTTTTGAAAAAGTTAGAATTAGGGTTAGAGAAAAATAATATAAGCTGGATTGGATTTGTTGGATTTAGAAATTTAAAATTGATAATATATTTATAAAAACTAATATGTTATTAATATTATTTTTTTAGCTTGGGTGTGAATGCAAAGTTATGAGATAAGTATGCTCAGATCGACATATTATTAATACTAATTTTTTATTATTATTAATATTATATAACTAATATTCAAAGCTCATAATGACACCTATTTTAGGAATTGATAATTTTTATGTGTTTCTCGAAATTAAATGTTGTAGGGTCGGACGGTTGTGTCGTGAGATTAGTCGAGGTATGCATAAACTCGCTCGGACACTAATGAATATAAAAAAAAACTAATATTTAATAATTTATTATTTAAATATTAAACAAAATGAAGTTGGAAAATGGACCTRCCTAATCCAGACCAGAACCTGATTAAAATATGGAATTTGACATTGTATCTTAGTCAAATCAGGGATTCAAATTGATAGACTCTTATCTTAGATACATTAGTCAATCAGGTAGGAAGTGATTGTCCATGATATAGACAAATTTTCATTAACCGCAACACCATCCTGGTTGTTACAAACATATTGCAAAAATGAGATGGTAGAAAATAGGAATAAGCTSGTGAATAATTCTTATCTAATTTATTGCTTCAATATTTGTCTTCTTATGAAAATTGAATCGTTCTCCATTCGCCAACCTATAGACATTCCAGCATATAATTTTCATTGCTGATGAGAGGCATGYCTGATTTACAAAAAATAGTAACACCATCCTTCTTCCCATAATATTCTATCATCTTTGCTTCCTTTTACCAATTGCCATATTGCATCCATAATCCACGTTGGTATCAACCTAATTAGCATTACTAATCTTGAATTTACAATATATTATTAATTTTGATTAATTAAACTAATAATTCCAAAAGTACCCTCATATATATATATACATGATTGGAGTGGCAGGCAAATTACTAAAACAAACAGAAAAATCATAATCAAAAGACCGTTAAGCACTTATTCAATCCTAATCAAGAGGGAATTCGGAACCCTAATTCSAAATCCTACTTCTCTTCCAATTCCAATTCCTTTTTTGTTTATCCTTAATCTCCAAACTATTAAATGCAAATCCCAGCCCTAAACCCTACTCTACTCCACCGATTCCCAAATTCCAATGTCGTCATCGGCAACACATTCCGGCGCCGGCGCCGGTTCCTCAAGCCAAGGCGAAATCGCTCTGTTCTCGAATCTGACTCGCGACGATCCCTCCGAAATCCCCGCCGGGGTTGGAGGGTTGGCTCCGCCGCGACATCGCGTTCCGGTGTTCGAATTGCAACCTTGGGAGCCGGACGACGCGTCGATCCCGGCGCGTTTCGACGGCCGGATTCTGGAATCCTGTTCCTACTGCAAGAACGAAATCGGCCGAAAGGAGAACGTGTTTATGTACGGGTAAGTGAGAGTGAGGGTATCGTTTTGATGTTTATTATAATCTGAAAAAGGTTTTGATTTGGAATAATCGGATGTTTTTGCAGTTGTATGCAAGCCTTCTGCTCTACACTGTGCCGAGCCCAACAGATTCTGCTCGACGGTTTCATGAATTTGGAGGATTTGGTTGATTCGTTTTTCGAGGATGCTCAGACCAAGAAAAAAGGACCTTGAATTTTCAACAGATTTTTCTTTTCAGTTTAGTGCCTGAGCAGTGAGCTGAGCGATTTTCAAGTTAGCCGGCGCACTTTCAATTTTATTATTATTTTTTTTTTTTGGGGATAAATTTGTATTTATCATTATAGTGCGGAACATAAAATACAATATTCAATTTTTTTTCCCCTTATAAGTTTGTGTTCAATATATTTTTTTTTAGTAGTTGAGTTATGTTGATATTTTGTGTTATTAATGATAGTTTTAATTAAGATGACACTCCCAAAATCAAGAGAATTAAAATATTTGATTTGAAAGACAAAATTCTATTTTGACCATCGTTGAAAAATGGAGAGTTTTGCCAACATGAGTATAGTGAGTGTAATTAGTACTTATTCATTCTCTTAATCGAAGGTTGAAACTCTTATACTCGTAATTTGACGTGTAGTTGTACTAAAAATAAATTATAAAGAAAAAACTAACAATATTCCTTACTTTATTGTATTTGCTTTTCTATGATTGCATTGAATCACGTAATCTCTGATAGATTCTTTCGGAGTTATTATTTTTATTGTTATTAGACTTCACTGAGTTCAGTGTAAAAGGTCCAAACAAAATTATTATATGAAATATAGTGGAGATAAAATAACATTTGAATTCAACCTCTCCTTTTAAGTTAGGGTTATACTTATAAATTAAATATTTTCTATATTTTTATTTATTAATTGTAGATATATACATAGATCTTATCAATGATTATGAATCATATTTTATTAAAACTCTTTACTGATTAACAACATTTATCTACATCCATGGACAGGTTATTAATTAATAACGAGTGGGTCTTAAAAAAAGGTTCCGTTATATATAGTGGAGTGATACTTAGGGTTCTCGCAAAAGTTAATTTTTTTTAATTTAATTCTTAATTTATAAATAGCGGTTTCTCACCAGTTATGTCAAATTCACATAAAAAAAATAGTTGTTCTCCCTATGAGTATGAAGAACTTTTTTCGTAAAATCTCGTCTACTAAAAAATTTGCGATACTTGACTCGATCCAGCTCATACATAATTAATAAATAGAAAATTTTGTTCGTTAATGCATTATGATCTAAGATTTGGAAGCCCCTTCTTTAAGCGCAAAAAAAGAAAATATATATCAATTTTTACTTTGAAGTACTTCACAAGACATATTAATTGTCACAATCATTTTTAATTTCATCAAATTCAACTTTAGACTTAAAAAAGTATTACCATTTTTACCTTTTATTCATTTTTTTGTCAAATTAACCCACTAATTTTAATATTAACACAACTAAAAATCTCTTAAACTCTAATAATTTCAACAAAAATCAAACACGACACAAAATTAAACTCAATTAATGTGTCAAATTGACCTTGAACATGCATCACATGTGTCATTCTATCATCATTGAAGAAATATAAATTCCCTTTTCTTAATGAAAAATGTTGGGAAAAAAATAAGAGACATTATGCATGTTTGTTTGTTATAAAATTCAATATGTTATTTGTTATCCCTTTCACCAGAAAGAAAGAGATGAATTGATTTACTTTTTTATTATTTGAATCATTGGGACGGGGCTCGAACCTATAGCTTCTGCTTTGATAAGTGGTGCTCTTATGAATTGAACTACAATCCAAAGAAAATAAAGCATCTAATATATATTATTGATTTAATTTCCTTTAAACATTTCTATGTAAATTTTTTTTATTCAAATTGTTTGTTATAATCTAACCGATAGAGAAGCGATGAATAGATTGATATGCATGAGAACATATATTTTAATGACAAATTTCAACAAAATCCAACTTTACATCATTATTTTAAGTCTCATCAATTTTATATGAGACGTATATGTCTTCGAGATTTATTAAACACAAATATCAGTTTATATATATATTTTAAGATTTTTCAAATGAAAATATATTAAAAGTTAAAAATTGCAACACTTATTCGAATTTAAGATACATGTTACAATACTAATCAAAGTCTAAAAGTCTAATTAGTAAAATTAGAGTTTTGGGTATAAATTGATACACAACAACGGCCTAGTTGCCCAGAAAACACAAGAATACTAAATTTTAGGTGGCCACTAGAGTTTGAATCCATTCCCTCTAAATTGAAATACTCCAAAAGATAACCACGATTCATCTCATCCATCTTCTAGCTACTGATTATCACTCACTCTTGACATGATAGGCGCCACAATCAAACATTTTAAGGCCATTTCTTATTGTTTTGGTTTGATTATCATAGCCCTTAAAGCATTCGCATGCAGCCCAACACGTAGTACTTGCTCCCAAGAGGCCAAAACAGCTATATTTCGTATGGTTTTTTGTAGCCAGTGTTGCTTCTTTTCACTACATCTCATATCCGCCAGCCACCTCCATCTCTGCCATCTTGGACACTCGGCAATCAGCATGTGAAACTCACCCCCCACTCCATTCACAGACAACTTCTTGTTGGGTGCTATAAATTACCCAATATGGGGTGGCTGTGAAGGGCATCGGCTCTGAATTCTGAAACATGGCGTCGAGAGCTAAGCTTTGTTTGTGTGCATTGGGGTTCACTCTGTTTCTTGCTTGTGTGTCTGTTGGTTTGAGTGCTGAGAGCCGCGGAAATCAAGTGGAAATCCCCCGAGAGGAGCAAGAACAGGGCAGGCACAATCCCTACTACTTCCATGAGCATAGTTTCCAATCAAGGTTCAGGTCTGAGGATGGCCATTGGAGGGTGCTGGAGAGGTTCTCACAGAGGTCTGACGTTCTAAGAGGAATTGAAAACAACCGATTTGCCATACTTGAGGCCCGCCCTCAGACCTTCATCATCCCCCACCACTTGGACGCTGAAACAGTTCTCTTGGTTGTAAGAGGTAAATTCCTCTGCTTCTTCTAACTTACAGGAATTCCAAACTGGGTTGAATTAATTTGAATTGAACCTTACTAGTTACTTCTTTTGGGGCTCAGGAAGGGCGGCCATAACTACGGTTGTTCAAGAAAGGAAGGAAACAAAAAGAGAGTCTTATAACGCTGAACGTGGAGATGTCATGGTGATCCCGGCAGGGGCCACGATTTACTTGGTCAACCATGAGAATGAAGATCTACAGATCGTGAAATTGATTCAGCCCATTAACAATCCCGGCGAGTTTAAGGTAACTATGGGCGCAGTTTGATGAATTCTTTCCTAAGAATTCTTGGTTTTTGCTCAATTCTCTCATGTCTTTGCTGTAGGATTACCTATCTGCTGGAGGTGAAGATCAGTCATATTACACCGTTTTCAGCAATGATGTTCTTGAAGCTGCTTTAGACGTGAGTCTATTTCTTTTTCTCCAAGGGAGATTGAATATTTTCAGAGCTGATATAGTTTTTTGAATGAAATTGCAGATCCCACGTGATAGGCTAGAGAGGGTTTTCAAGCAGCACAGTGAGAGGCGAGGAAAAATCATAAAGGGTTCACAAGAACAGCTGAAAGCGTTGAGCCAACGCGCCACTTCTGTCAGAAAAGGTGGCCGAGGAACCCGAGCTCTAATCAAGCTCGAAAACCAAACCCCTGTTTACAGCAACCAATACGGGCAGATGTTCGAGGCTTGCCCCGATGAATTCCCGCAACTCCAGAGAACCAATGTGGCCGCTGCGATTGTTGACATCAAACAAGTATTGCAAATAGAAATAGAAAAACCCTAGCCCTAGAATTGTTCGTGAGCCCAAATTTTGTAGAATTTTTGTATTTACTAACCTCTGTGTCGCCATTTTTAGGGCGGAATGATGGTGCCCCACTTCAACTCGAGAGCAACGTGGGCGGTATTCGTTGCAGAAGGAGCCGGCTCCTTCGAGATGGCGTGCCCTCATCTTCAGGGCGAGGAATCAGAAGGAAGAAGCAGTCGATTTGAAAGAGTCGCCGGTCATCTATCACCGGGCGGCTTACTCGTCGTCCCGGCAGGTCATCCAATCGCCGTCATGGCTTCCCCGAAGGAGAATCTCCGCTTGGTTGGCTTCGGAATCAACGCCCAAAACAACCTAAGAAACTTCCTAGCCGGTAAGAACAGAACTCCAAACTCAAAATTGCTAACCCTAACCCTAAACGAAGGTCATAAAAACAAAATTTCATCCTCAAATCTCGCGCAGGGAAAGAGAACATAATGAACGAAGTAGACCAAGAAGCGAAGGAACTCACATTCAACATAAAAGGAAAGGAAGCGGATGAGATTTTCAAAAGCCAGAGAGAATCGTTCTTCACGAAAGGGCCGGTAGGGGAACGCCGGAGATCGACGGAGAGACGCCCGTTGCTGTCGATTCTGGAATCGGCCGGTTACCTGTGAAATTAGCCATCAAGAAATAGAAGATGCAGAGAAATGAATATGAACATAAATAAATAAAAATAATGGAATGGTATTTTGAAGTTGGGGGACTTTTTGGTCTTTTGAGAGGGAGTAAGGGTATTAAGAAGAAGGGGAAGCTTTTTGTACCAGTAAGAGGGCATTATGCTTGTGGAAAAATAAATAAATAAATGATAATCTGTTTTGCTGTGTTTGCTAAGATGATAATTTGTTTTTCTGATTTTCTGTTTTTAATTACTTTTTCCTGTTTTTTTTTTATATAGTTTTATGTAAACATTTTAAAAAATATGCTAATATATTAATAAAATTGTATTTTACAATTTTAGAGGTGAAAAATGGAGTCATAAAATTGTAAAAAAAAAAACAAAAACAGAAAAGGGTTATTATCTAATATCTGGTTTGGTGTTTGCTAATAAGGTCGAATAAATTAAAATTATTTTTAAAAAATTCCTTAAGAGGAATAAAATACGCAAGCTCATAAGTGATCAGTTTTATCTCTAAGTCTGTTTTAAAGTGTTTTAAAGTGAAAAACAAACGAAATTGTTATCGGATCACACCTTCTATAAACATTTACATTATCAATTTTAGTACAATTATTGTTAACATTATTGTATTGGGTTTAACCGATCTAAAACAAGATTACTTGGTAGAAAGAAAAAAAAAAATATATATATATATATATATATATATATATATATATTTATTGACATAATATAATAACATTCATTTGTTAATATTTTATAATGAACAATTTGTTTTACAATTTTTTAATCTTCTTAGTTTCTATAGAATTTCTAAAATATATATATTTGAAAACAATAAATGTAGGGGGGGAGAGATTGAAGCTTCGATTTCGCAAAGTAACATTCGATTTCAAATCGAAGTAAAATGTCTTATTCACGAAGTTGAGCTCACGGTGACTTATTAATATTTTTATTTAATTCTAATATTTTCGACATACAATTCAACGTTACTTTAGATGACTAAAAATATATAACTAAAACAGTGTGAACAATGTTTGTTAGGTAGTAAAACTAGGGATTGAACTAGAGATGGTAAAAATATCCGCGGGACCCGATCACGTTTGACCGGGGACGGGGTCAAACCGGGGATCCCAATCGGGTTCCTTGGCGGGGATGGGGATCGGTCCGGACCCCATCCCCGACCTCGACCCGGTCACGTTTAATTTTTATTACTTTTTCTTTTTTTTTATATAATAATATTAATATATATTAATTTTATAAATACTTTTTAATTTAAAAAAAAAAAACTCAAAAGCTAACACGCAACTTTTTGTTAACTTTATTTTGAAATATACACTATAAAGTGTTTTGAGAAAACACATTTTTAAAATAAATGAAAACAAAATCTTTAAATCATAAAATTGTTACAATCACACCATTCTTAACTTTCAATTTAATTAATAACTCTCCTGAGCATATAAAATTGGTGCAATTAAATCACTCTAAATTCTTGTGTAATATTATGAATATATTTATTGAAATTTAAATTTTAAAATAAAGTTTATTATCAATACAAAATAATGAAAAAAAACCCCTTAGGGGAAGGAAAGAAATGGATATAAATCTAAAATTTGAAAGTAAAATAATAATAATAAATAAATAAATAAATAAACCCCCCGGGAGAACTTGTTCTTCAAGTCGCTGCTGTTAGCATAATTGCAGAAGGGGGCTTCCAAATTTCACAGAAGCCATAAAAAGTTCAGATCGAAGAAGAAGAAGAAGAAGAAGAAGATGGAGTGCGTATTCGGTCTCGTAGGCAACGGATTCGTCATAGTGGCGGCGGATACATCGGCGGTGCACAGTATTTTGGTCCATAAATCCAACGAGGACAAGATCATGGTCCTCGATTCCCACAAGCTCGTCGCAGCCAGCGGCGAACCCGGCGACAGGTACAAGATTTGTATCGATACAGTTTTTCTTTCCCTCTCTAATTGTTTTTGCTTTTTGTCAATTATGTTGTCCCTGGTTTGATTGAATAGGGTTCAGTTCACGGAGTACATCCAGAAGAATGTGTCTTTGTATCAGTTCCGCAATGGGATTCCTTTGACCACTGCCGCTGCTGCTAACTTCACTCGTGGCGAACTTGCTACCGCCTTGCGTAAGGTATATCGTTTCTCCTTTCTGTAACTTTTATCTGATTACATATTCAGCCTTCGTTTTTGCAAAATTTTGATCCTGGAAATATATGAATGGTTTTGTATTAATCTAATTTACCACTTTGTGGAGCTTAAATCTGTTTGAATGTCTATACGAAGTGAGAGAAAGATTGTGTTGATTGCTTTTAGGAAAACCCTTGATTTCTGTCATCTTAAGAATGCCTCGCAGTGACAAGAAATTAGTCTGTGTTGTTGTATTCTTAAAACTCTATCTGACTTGTGCTTGTGTTCATGTATCAACCTGTATAGGCACGATAAAGTTCGTGTGGTTCCCTTACATCCTGTTTCAGTCTTTCCATTATCATCTCTCTCTCTGTTTTTTTTTTTAATAAGAAACTTGTGTATTAACTCATAGAAGGAGACAACCTAGGGGCTGGGTAGAGCGAACCCCACCCAAAGACTAAAACAACTTTTTCCAATTGTTGATAACATGGAGAGGTTGTAGTTACAAAAGAATTTTCTATAATTAATGCACCTCCAAGAAGCAATGTGCTGTACATTTCTACAAAAAACCTCAAAAGAAGCTTCTTTATCCTCAAAAGTCCTTTGGTTTCTCTCTAGCCATTATCATCTTTTTGGTTCCTTCCTTATCATTCGGGAAGGCATTTGTTAAATCAGAGAATTAAGAATTCACATGACTTGCGTATTATAGCTTACCTCTTACTCTAGGAATTTCTTGTGGTTTTTGTGTTTCTTTGTGATTCCATTTAATATCACCAAATGATGCTGATGCGCTCAATTGAAATTTACTATGTTGATAGGTTAGATCAGATTGTTCCAAAATAGTATGGTATATGATGCGATGACTGCATTGTTTACGAGTGTACTCTCACAAAAACTGATTCTTGTTTACCAACGTACTTTGTATGTATAGTTTTATGAAACTCTTCCTTGATCTTGCTGTCCCAGAATTCACAAGCATGGTCTCTCTTTTTAGTGTTTCTCAATGAGGTGTGTGCTTGTCAAATAACAAACTTCTTGGCCACTCAGGGCACAGATAATCATCCTTTAAAGCTTAAGCTAGGCTAGAGGTATGCAGTTAGTGTAGGAGTTTTACTATGTAATTTGGTATTTGTCACTATGGGCAGAATGCATTTGGCTGTATCTGCGAGTGAGCTGTGAGGGATATTGGTAGTCTTAAGATTCCTCGTCATTCACTATCATGGGAAATTGAATTATTGGGTCGGCTGTAACTTGGAAATGTGACCTGATTTTTCAATCTGAACTTTTGATTTTTTCAGAATCCATACTCCGTAAACATTCTGCTAGCGGGATACGACAAGGAGACTGGTCCATCCCTCTATTACATTGACTACATCGCCACCCTTCACAAGGTTGACAAGGGAGCTTTTGGATATGGGTCTTACTTTTCACTCTCCATGATGGACAGACACTATCATAGTGGCATGACAGAAGAAGAAGCCATTGATTTGGTCGATAAGTGCATACTGGAGATCAGGTCTAGGTTGGTTGTGGCCCCGCCAAACTTTGTGATCAAGATCATCGATGAGAACGGAGCTAGGGAGGTTGCTTGGCGCGAATCTATCAAGGATGGAGCTAGTGTACCTTCAGCTTAAGACTTCAATGTTATCAGCAGAGGTTTGCATTTCTTTCTATCATCTTAACTTTGTATGGTCGGCGAGCGGGGTGTATTTTACCCTCTTCCAGCCTAGTTTCAGACATTTTGATAGAGTTATGTTGTGATTGAAGTCTCTTGTTCCTGAATACATGAGCGAACAAACGCAATCTGAACTTCTATAGATTGATTTATCATCTGCTGTGCTGAAGTTCAAAGGTACTACTTATGAATAGATTCACAATTAAGTTGGCCTCGCAAGGAAATGTTGGTGTTTCTTTGTTTTTTTTTTTTTTTTTTTTTATTGTTCTTTTCCTGTGAGGTTGAATCTGAAAAGTGCAAGCTTTGAGAAAGCCAGATCCGATTAAACCAGCTTCAATGCCCAAAGAATCTACTTTTCTCATTGCTTGAATTTTAAAGGGCAAATCCAATACAGAGAGATCATTTCTGTAGGTTAAATAACCATCTTAGTCTCCATATTTTCACTTTAGCCCCTTATGGTTTTAACTTCTGTATTAATTTGGCCCCTCGTTCTGGTTCCATCTTTTAATTAAAATTTACTAAGATATCTCTTGCGATAGTGATAAGTAATACAAATTGAATGTTCTAAGTTGTATATATATATATATATATATATATAATATATATATATATCAGTACAACATGTGGGAGTAGGAATTCGAGCCTACGACTACTTATTCAACTCTTAGATGGGAAATGTTACAAGTTATCTGAAGATATAACAGATAAATTTTAATTTTTTTTTTCCAAATTACTTGGGTAGCTAGCAAATTACAATAGTTAAAAAAAACACAAGTTAAGTTTGAAAGTATTATTTTAGATGATATCATGGGGGACTAAAATGTAGTTTTCCACGATTATAATAGTTAAATAATTACTTCTCATACCCAACACCTAAACAAAGTAACAAACTCTAGAAAAGAAATAAAAATTTGAAACAAAAGGAATAACAGACAACTCTGTTTGTCTGCTTTTTTAGCATGCAACGAATCACTCATCTCAACCGTATAAAAGCCCAAAAAAAAAAAGGAAAAGAAAAACTCATCAAATTACTATTCCACTCAAAAGAATAACTCCACACTCTTCAAACAAATCAACAGATTTTGAATAAGTAATCTAGTATAGCTTCAAAACCACACAGCTCAATGCCAACAATGGTAGATAAGTCAAGAAGCTGCAACAGGGTATGGCGGCAGATGACGGAGTCAGCTCAGGGGAAATCCCAGTCCTGCCCTCGGTGTTCGAGGTCGGAGTCTCATCTCCCCCAGTTGAAGGCGGAGTAAGAAACTGTGTCGTGTCAGCTTCAGGCGACTGCGCAGGCACGGCGGGTTGAGGAATCCCAGAAGCTAATCAAGAAAGGCAAAGCATTTGAAGATCAGTAGAAAAGAGTTTAAAACTAGAAGCCAAGAGCAAGAGATAGCAAACTGTGTACCTTGTGGAGTTGATGAAGCTTCAGGCGAGAGAGCAGGACCAAGTGGGATGGGACCTATCAAAACATACAAGAGAAACTTTCATATCTTTCACAGAATAAAAATGTCTTTTCACTCTTTGAAGTTTGAAGAAGGCCATATTACCTGGAGCTGGGATAGGAGCAGCAGAGGCTGGAAATGGAGAACCAAAACACACATCAACTTATTGAATTTCTCGTCGAGAAAAGGATCAAGACGATCAGTTTGGAGTCTTACCTCTGCACTGGACGGGTACGCCAGGCATGTTACAGGCTTGAGGAAGAGAGATGGCCAACGACCTATTGATCGGTAATTGGAAGGGAACGCTTGCGGTGACGATGAGGCAGAGGCAGTCCATTCCTGTGCTGGTGAGTGACCTTAGATAATCACAACAGTCTGCAGTTGGTGAAGTCCCATTTGCTGTGCTGTTTGTGAGCAAGTTCATGCAGGGAGTGAAGCGGGCAATCACGGAAGGATTGCAAGGTGAATTGATCTGACCCGAAACAGGGAAAATTGCTACCGTGAATGYCAGAGCTAGCACCGAGATTGAGCGGGTGAAGGGAAGAACAAATGGCTCCATTGGGAAGTTTGTTGCAGGGAAGAGAGGAGGATGATGAAGGAAGTTTATAGGTGAGAGAGATGGGGTGAGAAAAGATTGGAGGGGAAGCCATGAGTTGGGTTTTGAAGCTCAACTACCTCAGCAACCACTTGCAGGAGATGGATGATGGCACTAAGACTAGGACACTTTGGCATAGCTCAACCAAGTTCAAAGTTCCTAACTGGCATTCCTGTGCTCTCACAATTTTTCGAGAAATAGATTATTATTTAGTAACGACGAACAAGAGTGATGCCTACGTATATGCCTACATATATATTTTTTTTAGTACAGGCGGTGGAGATTCGAATCTACGATACCTTGACAAAATATATTGGTTAGGAATTGAAGTAATGTTTGAACATTATGTTCGATATATCTTAATATGTTAAACTATATTCAAGCAGTGACACTTGATAATATATTAATAATACATTGGTTAAGAATTTAAAGTGGCATTTGGACATTGTGTTAAAATTTTAAAATGTTTGTATTAGTATTTTCTTAACCCCCATTTTCCAAGTCATTCCATCCATGTGAAAAATGAATTTCAACCCTCCGTGATAACTATTTAATTTGTTTTAGAATTAAACTTATAAATACTACTTCAGACACTTTCTTTAATGTATTTTTTAAAATACATCTTTAAATTTGAAAATTAAAAAATATATATAACAACTCTGTTTTTAGTTTTCTATTTAAAAAAAAATCACATTTGAATTCTCAAAATAAAAATAAGTTTTTAAATACTACTTTTAATTTTCAAATTTTAACTTAGATTTTGAAAACATTTTTAAAAATTAGATAACAAAACAAAGAAATAAATAGGTAAAAATAATATTTATAAGCTTAATTTCAAAAAATAAAAAACAAAGAACATAATATATATTATCCAACGAAAACATAGCTTTTAAAATTTTGTTTTTATTTTTTAAATTTGACGAAGGGGTAAAACATATCAAAGGAACTATGAGAAAACAAACACGGCAAAGTATCAAACTGAAAAACAAAATCATTTCCCAACCCAATGAAACAGACTTACCGTGTCAGTCAGTTCAATTAGTTCAATCCATTCTGAGTTGGCCAGTCGGTTCAATTCTTAAAAATAAGTTACAATATCGCAATCGAAAAACCAACCCAAACCGAGCCAACCGCTCCCAGGCTGGCTTTTCCACCTCCCTTCATACCTTTTGGAATTAAAACCGATTATTCACCTAAAAGCAGCAAATTTTTCTCATAAGGTTAGGTTAGCATGATCATTGACCAAAGACAGAAAGCAATAAAAGTCTGAAAGCCAGAAAAAGAGTAGAAAGATAGAACCTGGAATAAGCTTCCTTCACGCCATTAAAGTTGACTCCTCAAAATTTCTGGGCTCTTTCCTAATGTAGAAGTTGGTGGCCATGATAACCGACCTCCATACCATTCCCCAAATTAGAATTGGTTAGGTTTCAAAGCCCCAAGTTTGAACATATTAACCTCAAAAGCTCCAACATAGAAAACTGTTAAGAAAGTAGGAAGAGTGGTTCACCAAATCAAACTTCTTCCCGTTTCTCTTTCTTCCTTTCATCCCCTACAAAACCCACACAATTCTGCTCCAGACCTTCACAAATCAAAACTCTTTAGTCTCTTCCTTCCGAGTTATCATCAAATTAACTCTCTTCACCATTACCAGAAGTTATAATAGTTCATAGCAAAATGGAGCAAAAGATGGTGATGACTCTACTTGTGGTGGTTGTTGCTGTGAACTGGGCAGGAGCAGCCGCACAGTCGGACTGTACCAATGTGCTGATCAGCTTGTCACCATGCCTCAATTACATCACAGGAAACTCCTCTACCCCGTCATCAGCATGCTGCACACAGCTTGCAAGTGTTGTCCGTTCGCAACCACTGTGCTTGTGCCAGGTCCTGAATGGTGGTGGCTCGTCGCTTGGGATGAATATCAACCAAACCCAGGCTCTCGCTCTGCCTCAAGCTTGCAATGTTCAGACTCCTTCTGTCAGCAACTGCAAGGGTAAGCATGCATGTGCAAAAATTTATGGGCACTAATGAGCATAAATAATTAGCAGGATTATGAACAAATGTCAATTTCTCTCTAAAGTGCTAACTTGTAGTACCTGAAAATTGGCAGTTGATTCTCCAGCAGGAGCACCAGAATCTTCTAACAACGTTCCATCAGGTATGAACATAACAAACTCTTAATTGTGTACTATGCCGGATCCATGGCAACTAAGCGATTAAGTTACCTAACGGTTTGTGCAGGAACTGGATCTAAGACTGTTCCATCAACAGACAATGACTCATCAGATGGAAGCTCCATCCATTCGTCAAAATCTCTGCTGCTATTCTCCATCTTGTTGGCTTCTGCATATGCTTCAGCTTTCAAGTTGTACTGATCTTCTTACCAGTGAACCTATCTTCTACAAGTTTTGTTATGCTCAGTTGATCATTTATTGGGTTCTGAATTTTTTTAGAGTGTCCAATATTTTGAGCATCCCTTGTGTTGAGGGTGTTTTATATCTATCTTCATATTCTCCCCATATGGCATTTGTTTCCAAGAACCTTGTACTACATCAGAGATTCTTTTGAATAAAATACATGATTGTGTGCTTGTGATATTTATATTGGCCGCTCCATAAGTAACATGAACAAATGACTAAAATGTCTAAAATAGTTATCATCCCATTGTCACCCCACCAATGATTAGAAACAGAAGGCATATGAAACATTTAATAGAGAGGGAGAAAGAAAAAAGAAGAAGAAAGAAAGCAATAAAAGAAAAGAAACGAAAAGAATCAATTACAAATGGATTTGGATGAACTTACAAATTATCTTCATTTTTCAATGATCATGGTACAAGCCTACTTATGTATACTCTACTTCCAACCAACCGTTACATGATGAAGCCAACTTATCGTATGCTTCTTTCACCCTTGTGTAGCTCCATGGTAGTAGGGTTACAATTTTTTTTTAATAAATATTGGCAATTAGAATGAACTTGGCAGCCTAAGACTGAAGGATGAAGAAGAAAAAACTACTTCGGGTAAAATTTTAGGTTGAAGTCGAAGGAAGAAGAAACAAATTGCTAGGCTTTAGCGAAGGTTGAAGCAGAAGCAAGGATCAAAGAAGTAAACATGGAACTTGTCGACCTAAAATGAATACCTTCATGCAGTCAAGTGCTTGTATCGCCATGATAAATGGTCATAAGGCAAAGATGGCGAAGCTACTTGCCCTAAATGACAGTCACACGACCAGGAGACACCTCTGACAAATGGTCATAAGACAAAGATGGCGAAGCTACTTGCCCTAAATGACAGTCAGGCGACCAGGAGACACCTCTGACGAGCACCTAAGTGCATCTTGAAAATACTAGTTTGCATAGCTTTGTGAAGTCAACACTACATTTGGTATTTGGGTTTACTTGCCCCAGTTGTGAATTTGGTAATTCCATGTGACACTATATCGTTAGCACTATGACACATCAATTAACTAAGTTAGTATATACTTAATTTTTCTTACAGGAAATGTACGTTACTGTATTTTCAAACCAAAAAGAGTTACGACAGAGATTACAAAAAATAGATAAGAGTTCAACTCAAAATCATAAACTGATTCTCATTAAGGATTTCTAGAAGTGTTATTTTACATCTGGAACGAGGCTCAATACAAGTATCAGGACACCAAACAAGGGTCTTCCCCAACAAGAAACAGGGAAGAGGAAAAAAAAGGCGCACCAGAATTCACATCAAGAATGAGAGCGTGACCGTACAAATTCTTCTAACCTATCCCACACCTCCAATGCTGCAGCTCTGTCTTGATGCCGCTTGTTCTTGCTAATCTGCAAAACGAAACATAATTTAAGTTGCCACGGTACAATAGGGAAGATTAAACTAGACTATACGAACATAAACAAAAAGAGAGCAGGGAATCGCAAAATCAAACCACAGCCAGATCAAGAATCAAGATAATGCAATAGCACAGAAGGGGATGAATTAAGGAAGTAGAAGATTACCGAAATAATTTTAACATTCCACTGCTTCACGTTCTTAGCTGATTCCAAACTGTCATCTTCAAAACGCATATAAAATCCAATAACTGCAAAATATTCAATGCATATTAATCCTTTTCAGATCCAAACCGTATTTATCAGAGCATACTAAGTAATGCAAATTCTGTTCGACTTGAAGGGAAAAAACAGTTCTCTACTAACATCACAGACTAACTTTCTATCTTATCAAACTGAATAGCATATTAAGGAACAAAAATCAACCAATTTGGGATCAATAGTTCGCTTACTTTTATTGAAAATCTCAACATGATCCTTAAAAGGCCAATCTTTGAACTGCCATTCCTTTCCCAATACGAAAACAGCTACAACACGGTCCCAGTCCTCCGATTTCAGAGCTGAAGGCTTGTCCCTAACCTCATACGCCGTCACCACCCTATCCCTGTCCCTACTGAACTTCTTCTGCACGGTCACACAGTCGGGCCTCGCCCCCTTCATCTGCTTAACCTTAACATCTGTAGGTATAAAAACACCATCTTCTAAGAACTCTTTCACATTATATATTGTGATTAGAGTCTGGAAAGCACTGGGAACCAGTACTATAGGAACGCCCTCTCCAATCTTCCCTCCCTTCAAGTGCATTTTCGGTTTCGGATTCGCATCGTAACCCGATTCATCACCATATCCCACCAAACCCCTGTCGTCGGAACCCATTAACCTACTCTTGGCCACCAAACCATCCTTCCTCTGCTGCGATTCAATACGCTGCCTCTCCTCCTCGCGCTTCGTCGACGCCACGAGCACGTTATAGAAATTCCTATTCTTACATTCCAACAACGATTCCCGGTCCTTCAACGGTCTCTCGATAGCCCTAATCATCGACATGTAATCAACATTGGTAGAATCCTTTAAACCGTGGTCCTCGTCTACCGCATCGATAGCCGCGCCAACAATCACCGGATCTTCAGGGCGATACTCATCCACAGAGGGCAAATCTGGGAATTTGGGGTTTTGAGGGACGAGGAACTCGATGGCGTCGGAGGAGGAGACCTTGCCGGTAAGATAATCAAGCAAAGGCTTCCGGTCCGGGAAAGTGACCGGAGGAATCCCCTGTGTGCGAGCGTTCTGAAGGTACTCGGTGTGCTTGATATGGTGATTCTTTATGTAATAGACGAGGGTTTCGATAGTGTAAAGATTGCCCTGCTTGGACCGGTAAGCTGTCTCGGCGGAGCAAGGGAAGGAATAATCGGCGGCGAAACGGAACTCGTCGTTGACTCGGACGATTTTATCGAGCTCGCCTCGGATGGTGAAGTCTCTGAGAGCTGAGAGAGGATCCATTTGCAGTGGCAGTAGTTTTTCTGAGGGATTGGGGAAGAAAGGAGTTACGATTGTCTTACTATTGAAGTACAAGGCTAATTTTGTAAATTTTTGTTTTAAGTAGGGTTTCAACGGGAAAACGGTGGAGATAATTTCCTCGGGCCATGGACTCGGCCCATTACAATTTTGGGAAACTCTTATTAATAAATATTCACAAATATATTATATTTTAAAATATATATCTTTAGTTTTGAATTCCCACCTACTAAAATCTTTCTACAATCTAATACTTTTTTAACCAACAAAATTACCATTATTTTGGTGGGTCCATTTAAATTTTTAATATTTTATCATCATATATATATACGATTTTACCCATCAAAATAAAATATATGTATTTTAAAAAACAAATATTTTAATAGTGTTAAAATCACTATTATTTCATATTTATATATTTATATTTATATTCAATATATTATCTTTCACCAGTAGGAAGTCAATACAAATTTTGCTCAACGTAATTAAATTCATGATCTCTTAACTAGATGTACATTTCAATTACCATTAAACTAGGTTTGTTTTGACCTCACTTGTTCAACTTAAAAAGTAATAAAAATATCTATTTTTTGTGTGTTGTAATTCTAATATTAAAAAAGAGAGCGTTATCCATTATTTATTTATTTTTATTTTTCCGGAAATTTGGTATATAACATGAGAAATTTCAGTCTTCTTTGTTTTTTTTTTTTGGAGTACAACCGAAATTTCAGTTTCGAATTCAAGCGATTCGGAAATTGGACTCATCACAGTTGTTCATCAGTTTTGGAATGAAGATGAGTAGAAAGAAGACTGAACATAACAAAATCCCTGGTTTTGCCCTTCAATACTCCATACTTTCTGAGAACACCTTCTCTGTGAAAACCGGCCTTCTCCACCACTCTCTGAGACGCCAAATTCTCCACATCCACCAGCGCTTCCAGCCTCTCCAATCCCGGCCGCTCCTCGAAAATCCTCTCCGCCACCAATTTCACCGCCACCGTCGCGATCCCTTTCCCCCAAAATTTGGAGCCCAATACGTACCCTAGCTCCTCTCTGCACCGGTCCCTGGCCGCCGAATTCGGCGATACCATAATCGCTCCGACCGGCCGGCCGTCGACGCAGATCGCCCGGTACCACGGGTGCGGCAGGACTTTGTCTTTGATGAACTTTAGAGCGTCTGATTTGTCCGTGTAGGGCTCCCACGAGCAGAATCGAGCCACCTTCTCGTCCGACGCCCACACCATGAAATCGTCGATGTCGGTCAGATCCAGCGGCCGGAGAGTCACTGCCATGGCTGCCGACTTAGAGATTTCAGTGGGGGAATTCCAATTTAATATTTATAGAGAGAGAGGAGAAACCGCATCCGAATTTTCAATTTTGGAGAGTCAAAAATTGCCTTCATTGCTTGGGGTGGACTCAAAGTCTCGCACGTCATCAATCTGTACATTCATCCTTGGGTTTAATTTATTAAATATTTTAATACATACATTAAATTATCGTACCACCAAAAATTTTCAGATTTTYTAATTTTGTTACCTAATCAATCCAAATATGATTTCTTTGACCTCCTTTGATATAAACCTGTATATGTAGTATTGAGTTATGTTCACGTTGGCCTGCAATAATTAACTATAATAAATTTTTTTTGATTAGATTTTCCTTTATATGAATTATTTGTTCCTAGATTGAGAGGGTTTGACGTTCATCTTCTTCCTCCATAATAAAAAAATTATCATTGCCATCAAATCTTTACAATTTCAATTTCGCTAACATTTGGGAAGAATAAAAATTCTTGAAAGAAGTGCTCACGAATTCGATGAAAAAAAATGGTATTTGGGTGTTCAATCACAGTTTGTTTTTTGAACGAGACAAAAAAAAATGAAGAACAAGTTTTAGCTATTGAAATAAAAAAATTTCAAARGAAAACTAGCAAGCGTTGAATCCTCCAACTCCAATACACATGTTAAGCATTATTCCAGTTCAATGTATTAATGTATAATGACAATGACAAAGTAAGACAACATAAAATTAGTAGGGTAGAGAAGAATTAACACAAGATGTAGAGCTTACCACTTGGTCAACGTCCATTTTTTAAGGTTATATATATTATTTACTTTTCTCACTCGTCTTTTGAGTACATCTCAAGGTACAAAAACAGTGGGCTTAACCACCACCAACTAATTTATTACAAAATGTTCATTCGAGTAAGTTAAGAACAACTAACGACATCATGCAAAGACTTAATGACAGAATATGTAATTGTTGAGACAATGGAACCAAAACAAGAAAGAAAGTAGAGTTGCATAACACCTGAACTAGGAGAATCGAGCCCGTAGTGCTGCGACACTACAATGACCCATGAAGACGTTGCTGCAAGATTTAGCTTAGAATCAGAATCCAGGTATCTGAGCCCTTTTCGATTTGGCTTAGACGTTTCTATAAATTGGTGGTTTAAGACTTGTATCAAGTGTACATAATCTAAACAAAAGAGACTTGAGTAGTTGTAGACAGTGTGTGAAAATGAGTCTGTATTCGTGGGTTTAGTGAAGATGTTTTCAATTATACTGTAATCCTATTTAGTATTTTTGTAGGTGATATTTTGAGTGAGATCTTCATGGTAATATTTTCAACTATAAAACCTGAACATAGTCTCAAGATTTAGATGAATGAGTTAAATATTTGTGGTGTTAGAGCTTTTATATTTATATCTCTTATTCATTTATTATTGTTACTTACTTATTTGTTAATTTCGGGAAAGGGAAAAATAGTTGATATGTGAATAATTCGTCCATATTTTTTTCCAACAATAATATCACTCTCAACATCAAATGTATTGGTAAAAATGGTGGAGGAATGTAGTTGAAAAGTTTTTCTCCTTTTCTTCTCTATTATTTAAAAATATTCATCGTTTTTATTCAAATCATCTTTTATCATCTCACGGTAATCTATATTTATCTCTTTTTAAATTAGAGTCTCTATTTTCTAAAATGATGAATATGTTAAATATATCGGTAAAAATTAAATTTTCAACTTTARAAAATATATATGTCTTAACCACTCAACATTATTCAAGTTAGCATTTAAAGCGATAATCTTACCGATTATAACTTACCTCTCAACATTAATTGTATTCCAAAGTTTTATGTTACAAAGCAATCATACAAATTCAAGCTTATTAAAATGATGTGTCAAACACCATTTTGATAACTGTGACACATTTACCACTTAAACGATTAAATTACTAAATTATATACCATGTATATTTTTTTTGGGATAATAATTTATATGCCATGTATTTGAACTATAATGGCAATCTTAATTTTAATTACGTCTCTATCATCTCAATGAAACTTCCAAAAAAGACATTTTCTTTTAAGCTTAATTGAATCTTACTTAATCCAATGAAATTATGAGTACATCCACAGATACATAGCTCCTCTCCAATGAGTAAAGACTTGATGGACCTTTTAGAGAGAGAAAAAATTCATATCGATTTTAAGCTTACACACTACAACAATGGCGGCCCTTCTCCCTTGCACACAAATCTGTAAAAACTACTGAATTCGAAACTCAAATTAAAATCATTCAGAAATTTTGACGCAGTACAGTTCATCAATAATTTTGGATTGAAGATCAGTAGAAAGAAGACTGAACATGACAAAATCCCTGGTTTTGCCCTTCAATACTCCATACTTTCTGAGAACACCTTCTCTGTGAAAACCGGCCTTCTCCACCACTCTCTGAGACGCCAAATTCTCCACAGCCACCAGCGCCTCCACCCGCTCCAATTCCGGCCGCTCCTCGAAAATCCTCTCCGCCACCAATTTCACCGCCGCCGTCGCGATCCCTTTCCCCCAAAAATTGGAGCCCAATACGTACCCTAGCTCGCCTCCGCACCGGTCCCTGGCCGCCGAATTCGCCGTCACCGATATCGCTCCGACCGGCCGGCCGTCGACGCAGATCGCCCGGTACCACGGGTGCGGCAGGACTTTGTCTTTGATGAACTTTAGGGCGTCTGATTTGTCCGTGTATGGCTCCCACGAGCAGGATCGAGCCGCCTTCTCGTCCGACGCCCACACCATGAAATCGTCGATGTCGGTCAGATCCAGCGGCCGGAGAGTCACTGCCATGGCTGCGGATCTTTTTCTCTTCCTCTGCGGAGTTTGGAAATTTCAATGGGGGATTTATAGAGAGGAGAGGAGAAACTGCGACGAACTTTCATATTTGATGAGTCAAAATTGCATTGCTTGGGGTGGACTCAAAGTCTCGCACGTCAGCAATTTATTTTTATTTTTATTAAATTTAACACCACATGGAGAACTTTCGACTTATTTTTAGTGTGTATATATATAAACTTTAATTAATTGAATTATGATATTTTTGAGTTTGTTCTCCTCCTCCATATTTGTTGTAATTTGAAAAGAAAAATCCAAGTCTAGTATTTTTAGTCATGTTATTTGTTTTGTTAAAAAAATTTCAATCCAAATTATATGATTTATTTTTAAGTAAAATAAGGTTTTTGTGTTTTGCGGTCATTTATGTAAATCTAAAAATGAAAAAAAAAATGATACTAATAGAATTTAGTCTGAAATAGATATTTTAAAATTTCAAAGATTAAAAATAATTTTAATTATTTATGTTTTTAGTTTAAAAAAAAGGTGGGAGTAGAAATTTTAACGTTTTATCTTCCAGGAGAGGTCATGATACCTGGTAATGGTCAAGCAAGATGGAACTTTTTTTTTTACTTTTAAATTAATGAAAATTTTGATTAAATCGTCAGTTTAGCCCATAAAAATAAAATTATAAACTTGTGTTTAATAAGTTTGTAATTTGTAAAAACTATCCAATATGTTCGTATTTAAATAGATTTTCAAGCTTTGGAAAATATATAACAGGATAAATCTCTAATTTATAAGGCAATTTTAAGTTTATACATATGTTTTAGAGTTGAAAGTCTGAGAACTTATATCCTTTTTTAAATTGACAATTTTATTAAACACAAAAATAAAAATAAAAAATTATTAGACACTGAAAACTTGTAATTTCACCCTGAATTTTAAGATAAAAATTGACCCAGCTAAAATAAAGGGTAAAAGGGGAATTTTGCCTATAAATTGATGGCCGCCGTAGCTGACCAGCCCCAACTCTCAGGAACAACCGGCCCTCTTTCTGATCAATGGAGTCATCAAGAATTTCCGTCCGGGCGTTCAAGCTTTCCGACGCCAACGACTTTCTCAGGTGGGCCGGCGACGACAGAGTAACCCGCTACCTCCGATGGGACGCAATTACCTCCAAAGAAGAAGCAATAACTTACCTAGAGAAGGTCGCGATTCCCCATCCATGGCGGCGGTCCATATGCTTGGACGGCCGCTCCGTCGGGTACGTTTCGGTCAGGCCGGAAACGGAGGAGAGATGCAGAGCACATATCAGCTATGCCGTGGCGGCGGAGCATTGGGGACGAGGGATTGCCACGGCGGCGCTGAGGGCGGCCGTTACGGAGGCGTTGAAAGAGTTCCCGGAGGTTGTTAGGGTTCAGGCGTTGGTGGAAGTCGAGAATAATGGATCCCAGAGGGTTCTGGAAAAAGTGGGGTTTTGCAGAGAGGGGCTGTTGAGGAAATATGGATTTTGTAAGGGCGAAATTCGGGATTTTTTCATTTTCAGTTTTCTAAGAACCGATCAAATCCAGTGACCAATTTAGGTATACAAAACCTGTGTATCATTTAATAGTTTTCTTAGTTGATATATTTTGGTTTAAATGTCTTTTATAGAATTCTAAACTTCGCCAATAAGTTTAGCACAGCTGTAGTTTTTTATTTATTTATAAAGTAATAAATAAATAGAATTGCAAAATATCATGATTTCGAATTTTTGCAAGAATATTATTACGTGGGACAATTGCCAGTATGACAAAAATATTTAGTAAAATAATCAAAATATCAACCACATAGCATTTTTTCCAATAAAAAAACGGAGGTCCAACTTTAAAATTATAAATTTACCCTACAATATATCTATCATATATTTACTCTCTCTTATATACCACTGATATAATAATGATATAAAATTGATTTACTTCTGATATAATTATGATATCTACTGAACTTCTAACGTGGCTTACCACTGATACGCGTAGGATAACCATTGATTTACCATGCCGATACAACATTTATATATCTGTGATATATACTTTATATGTCTCTAATTTACCATTGATATACAAATGATATATTATTTATATAAATGTGATATCTACTAATATAACTTATTATATATGATTAAATGATTTATCACTAATATAACATCGATATATATTTGATATATACTTAATATGCTTATAATTTATCAATGATATACCTTTGATATAACTATAATATTTACTAATATAACTATAATACATGTGTGTTGATATAATACTATTGTATCCACTATTTTTTTTCATGTGGATCATAAAAACAAATTTGAAATATAAAGTTATTGTATAAAAGGTTTATGTGGATCGTGCACATAAAAAAAAAGTTAAAAATCTTATTTACTTTATAAATTTAAACCGTTTATATCTCTTATATTTAATATCTAATTTATATTAATATAGAATAAATAGTAGTGATATAGTAATCAATGTTATTGATAATATTAGTATATCAACCAACAAATTGCAATGATAAACTATAATTTAAACAACTTATATACCTTATATCTAGTATACCAGTTGCAAATATAATTAATATATCATAGATTTGAGATACATCATATATATATATATATATCGTGGATACATCTGATAATGTATATCAATAGTACATTAGAAGTATATAGAGGTACATTAAATTAAATGTATATCAAATATAGATGGAATGTATATTAGATATATATACACTTTAAATATATATCAAGTACATATATACATTAGATGTATATCAGATATCATAAGGTAAAATCGAAATAATAAAAATTCTGAAAATAAAATTCAAATATTTTACTATATTTGAAATCTTGAAAAGTTGGTGACATTTTAAAAATACATAAATTATTTTTACTACCTACTACAATTATCCTTATTATTAACTAATTTTTTATTTTTATTTTAATCCTCGTTCCTAATTTGATTGTTTGACTAAAAGATTAAATGAAAATCGAGACTGAAATTAAAAATTTTATATATTAAAACATCAAACAGATGCATTTTTTAAGAGCAAAGCTTTCCATGCCAACTAGTTAAAACACAGAATAGTCTTCAATAATTTATTAATCACAGTATAAAATAGAAAAATTTTAGGACTATAATCATATTTGAAAATATATATTTTAAAAAATATGACGATAGGAAACTTTACATTGTTTTCAATCCTGGTTTATTTATGAGATTTCTATTTTATATCAATAAAATTATTAAATACTACGCTACATTATAAATTATAAATTTAGGCTTTTAAATTTTTGAATATTATATTTATTTAATCTATAAATTTTAAAATTTTTCAATCACATCTCAAACTAGTAGGATAGCATATGCTCCCTTGATATCAAAGGGGTTTTTTTTTAAAAAAAATATTGTACTTTTAAAAAACAGAAGATTGGTAGACCAAAAGATGCGTGACCAAGGATTCACACTTGGGACAAATGTGATATTAGGATAACAGTACACCCACTGCACCACTAAGCAGTTTTTTATATTAAAACTACTAAATAATATATAATAGACATATTATTTTAGAGAAAAAATCAATTTACACCATCACTCAATTTTATTAGAATGCTGTTACTTGAAACCTCAAACTAATAATTTCATCCCAAATGACTGTTACAAGATGGGTTTTTTTTAATATTGTTCCGAATGAAACTTATTTTAAAAATATAGTTGTTTAATTAAAAATATAAAAAATATTGTAGGGTTTTAAACTTATTTTAAAAATACTGTACTTTTAAAGAACAGAACCCAGAATTCAAACTTGGAATGGAAGTTTTATTAGGGTAATAATACACCCACTGTACCACTAGGCAGTTTTTTACATTTAAACACTATTACTTAAATTGGCATCTATCATTTTATTTGGAAAAATAACTTTATTTATTTTCCTTATTTTATTTTATCAATATATTATTTAAAAGACGTCATTTATGCTTTTCTATTTCTTTTTTCTTTTTTTTTTTTTTGGTTTGAAGCATGCTTTTCTATTTCAAAAGCACATTAAAAATAACAAAAATATGGGAGATTTATGTGTGGCCTGCCCCACGACCACAGAAGAGCAACTGACATCGCCAAAAACAGTGTTTTTGGGCAACTCAGGTCCGCATCGGCGAACAGGGTTAGTTTAGTCATTTCAGTACTAATTAAATTACAATTAAGATTCTAATCCAAATTAGGAACATTAATAAGACGTCACCCTATGGCCTATATTTTAATGCCCGCATCCATCACACATTCAATCTCGATCTCGCGCTTCGAAAACCCAATTTTGTCCTTCCCTCCTCCCTATAAGACACGCCGGAGCCCAATCCCTCTCCACGCCGGGGCCTTGAAGCGGAGTCGACAGCCGCCGTCGCCGTCGCCGTCGCCGTCGCAGCCGCCTTGTCGGGACTCGCCAAAAGACGACATGTCCGTCGCCGTTCCTGTGTCAATGGACGTCGTCGATGACGAGCCTTTGCCCAATTCTTGGAGCGGTAAGATTACAATTCTTTTTGTTTTCTTCTGTTTTGCGTCAAAGCACGTGTGTGAGCACGTCATTTCCTCGGGTCTTATGGAACTCCGAGGAAAACTGAAATGCGAATTGTTGGTTTTCTTACCTATTCTGTTTGGTTGGGGAATATAAATTACATGGTAAGCACAACATGTATTTTGGAATCTTAATATTCTGAGATGAGACGGCTCATGAAAAGTCAAGGTTCAATTAATTGAGCGGTTTCTTATTAATAAATGAAGAGGTTCGATTGGAGGGGCAGTTGTGCTTCTGCTTTGGAGATAAATCGTTTGTAACTCTAAAATTGTAGCTAATTGTTAAAAGAATTGGTGTTGAGCACAACAAGGTAACAAGCGCCTAGAGTCTCGGAAGCGTGCACAGTGAAGGTTGATTAGTAGTACAGATATATGTATTTGTGTTTTGATTGATGGAGGAAATGATTTTGAATCGAAACCATAAATCTGTTTTTACATTCAGCGTGAATTGTGCTTTTTGATGATACATATGATTAATCTTTAGAAAAATTAGATGTAGATGTGCTTGAAGAGCTTTTAAATGGAACCCTTGATGTGATCCTCGATCTCTGGACTCTTAAGAGTTGCATTTGGTGCTTCTCATCATATTATACCAAAGCCAGGACACTTTTTTATTTTAGCTTTTGAGTTTCTTAATTCTACTATATACCTTACTACTTGCCTTCTCTTGGTGTTGTTTTGCCTGTATCATCCAGGTAATGACAGGGAAGGGTTGATCTCGTACGGTGGTAAAAATTCTGCTCATAAGAAGAAATATCACCCAAGTGCCATTAAAATTTTTGGGGTGGATCTATCCCCAGATAATGTGGCTGTAGCCATGGTCTATTTTGTTCAAGGGGTTTTAGGCCTAGCAAGGCTTGCTGTCAGTTTTTACTTAAAGGATGATTTACATCTAGATCCTGCAGAGGTATATACTATATAGTCCTGTGATCATGAATACTTAGGTCTTACTTACAAATGTTTGATGTGCTGTGTTGACATACCTAATGGTCCATAGTGCATACTGATGGTTGTATATTGTTTTCACGTTTCTTTCCTGTTCAGTGTTCTTATTTATAACTCTTATTTATTTGAATCAATTGAAACATTTTCCTTTGTGATCAAATTTAATGTAGTATATCATCTCTGTGTTAAAGCATTATTGCAGTTTCATAATTTTATTCTGAATCAGACAAAAAGATTTTTGCAATTAGATATCTGATAAATGATATTTATTGACTAGACAGCTGTAGTATCTGGCTTCTCTGCATTTCCGTGGCTTGTCAAACCGTTGTATGGGTTTATCAGGTACAAATGTCTTTCTTCCTTGTTTCTCTCTTTTCTTCCAGTGTCCAACCTGACTTCCTTGTGCCTTACACGAATGCCAAAAGAAAAAAGAATAATTTTCTAATAATTTTTTGGGAATGCAGCGATTCTGTTCCTCTTTTTGGTTATCGAAGAAGATCATACTTGATTTTATCAGGACTGCTAGGTGCACTCTCATGGACTTTAATGGCCACCCTTGTTGATAGCAAGTATGGTGCAGCTTCCTGTATACTTCTTGGATCTCTTTCTGTAGCCTTCTCAGATGTTGTAAGTGTCTTCCACTTTACAACTTAGTTTAGTAGCTACATCAAATTACTATTTCTGAAACGATAGGTGCATTTTTTTTATGGAGACCAGAATTTAGGGTTGGCATCTTAACAATTCATTATTTATATAAACTTTCATTTGCATTTGGAACGTCAATCTTCTTGTTTCTCAATGTTGATAAGATGTAAACGTGTTGGTTGGTCTTTTTATATTTTGGTTTATGTCATGGCATGGGTCAGTTGCCAATCTTTCTTTAATTTCTTTGTCAACCAAGCTATGCTGTTTTATCTCTGGACAAATTTGAGATAATATCTCATTAACCCTATAAATCCGTCTCCTCTCCAAATAGCTTTCTTCATGTCTTGACTCTCTTGGGCTTGGGCCAAGTGAGCATGGACTGGATCTTGGATGGTCCAGGACAAACTTTTTTACCTGGGATATGATCACATATCCAAAAAGGACAAATTTTTGCAGATTGGTCTTAAGACATCAATCATTCAAGCTTGGAAAGGTTGAATGTGAACTGGTGAACTCAAAGCGCATCACTAGGAATATATAATGGCTCTCTTGCATCTTGAAAGCTGTCCAGCACRTCCTCTAGTCTCGCTTGTGTCTGTGTATCTCGAATTTTGGTCAAGTTTTGAGAAAAGCATGACTCCATTCAGTTAGTCTAACAACTCATCAATGAGAGAGACAGGGAGTTTATTTGGTCGTCACAAAACCTCCATCACCTTTCCCTTTTCTTCACTAGTAAGACAGGCTCGGAGAGTGGGCTTTGACTCAGATTGTATAATATTGACGGCTATCATCTCTCCCACTAAACGTTCAAGTTTGACCCTTATGACTAAATCTACATTGTAGTTGAAGTAATAATGTTAACATTTAATCTAGAATTTGGTCATCACAAAACCTCGAACACCTTTCCCTTTTCTTCACTAGTAAGACAGGCTCGGAGAATGGCTTCGACTCAGATTGTTTAATATTGACAGCTATCATTTCTCCCACTGAACGTTCAAGTTTGACCCTTATGAGTAAATCTACATTGTAGTTGAAGTAATAATGTTAATGTTTAATCTAGAATTTTATGCCTGTGCATCTCTCTCCAATCTACTCGAGAAAATGCATAAATGTACACTAGCCATAATTACGCGGTTTGCAACCTAGGGTTTATCTTTCTGAAACATCAGACGTTTGGTGTAGGTTGTTGATTCCATGGTTGTAGAGAGGGCACGTGGTGAATCACAAAGTATGTCAGGATCTCTTCAGTCATTATGTTGGGGGTCTTCGGCTTTTGGTGGAATAGTGAGTTCCTACTTCAGCGGCTCGCTGGTGGATGCATATGGTGTAAGGTACCGTAGTTCTTCACTCGTGGGTGTTACATAAAAAATGGCATTGATTGTGAATTCTAAAATGCAAATTGGGTATCCCAGGTTTGTTTTTGGAGTCACAGCTTTGCTGCCATTGATAACATCTGCGGTGGCAGTTCTCGTGAAAGAGCAGCCTGTCAGAGGGATAAATCGTCCTTCAGCCGACAATAATTTTATCCGGAGCTCAAGACAGCATATTACTGAATTGTGGAATGCTGTTAGTCAACAAAATGTGTTTCTTCCAACACTATTTATTTTCTTATGGCAGGCAACACCACAATCAGACTCTGCCATGTTTTACTTTACGTATGGTCACTCTTTCTAAATGTTATCCCCTTTTCTATTCCACTCTTTTAGTTGCTTTCACGATTTCATGTCACTCAGCATCTAATTTGTATCTAAAGTTACTTCTGGTTCAATATTTTCTCAGTACAAATAAACTTGGATTCACTCCAGAGTTTCTAGGGCGTGTCAAGCTTGTAACATCAGTAGCATCTCTAATTGGTGTTGGGCTTTATAATGGATTTCTCAAGAAAGTCCCTCTGAGGAAAATTTTTCTTGTAACCACCATTTTTGGTTGTGCACTTGGGATGAGTCAGGTCTGTGACATGATAGAAACATTTCATCAGTTCATGTTTGTAGTCCATACTTCATTAGTTACTTTATCTTGTTTCTCTGGTCATTTGCTAGGTTCTCCTTGTTACCGGAATAAATCGTGAGTTGGGTATTAGTGATGAGTGGTTTGCGATTGGGGATTCATTGATTATAACGGTACTCGGTCAGGTAATTTATATTGTATAACTGTACATTGTTTCTACTGGATCGTGAATGCTTGTCCTCCTGTGAAACAGATTTCCACTTTGATTGCAGGCGTCTTTTATGCCTGTTCTTGTGCTGGCAGCAAGGTTATGTCCAGAAGGGATGGAAGCCACACTTTTTGCAACCCTCATGTCCATATCAAATGGGGGAAGTCTGCTCGGCGGGCTCATTGGTGCCGGTTTGACGCAGCTGTTTGGTGTCACCAAAGACTCGTTCGACAACCTCTCCACCTTGATAATCCTGTGCAACCTGAGCTCACTGTTGCCGTTGCCTTTGCTCCGCCTCCTTCCCCAGGAATCTCCGGACGCAAACTCGGAAACCACAGACATGGAGTTGAAGTCTAATTGACCTCGGCAGCTGCTCCCCAAAAGCAGAACTGTAATCACTCTTTAAGCTTTCCGCAGATTCTATGTCAGAGAGAAGAGTGAGGGACTGTAAAATGATTGATTAAAGAGGTGAAGGGATATTGAGTCCATGAACAAGATCTGCCCCTTACAGAGTAGCAACAGACGATGAACAGTGGACCCCACAAGGGCCCCACCTGAGCCACTCATACGGCGCTAGCTGACTGTGTTGTCCACGTGGGTGGGCCCCTTAACTCCTCGGCTTATCCAATCTGTGCCCCCAGTTTTGGAATTGAAGTTTGATATATAAGGTAAAATAATTAAAGTCAGGGCCTTCAGACCACGTTATGGCTTGTCTGATTATGATACCCTCCAATATAAGGTAAATAAAATAGTGGGTGGATTATATTTTTTTTTAGTTCCGACGAGCCCCTTTAGGTTTAAGAAATAGTTCTAATTCTTGAAGTTATTGTGTGGTAGGTGACGCTAATGGAAAATTAATTGGATATTTTAAACGATAATGGGGTTGGTTTTAAGTTTTAAATGACATGGTAAAGTTGATTAATTGGTAATGAATGTTTGAGATAAAAATATGCTTGGGCTAATTGGCCAATTTTGATTATTTTTAATATCAATGATCAGATAACTTAGTGATCAAGAGTTTGTGAGTTCGATTTTCCACCTCACATGCTGTAAAAAAAATGCACAAAGAATATAGAAATGGGTAACCAACTTAACTACATAGATGCAATTTGAGTATATTTTATAATTATTTTTGGTTTGTGTGACATTGGATTTAGTTGACAGGATAAGTAGAATTCACGGGGAACTGCCATTTCGGCTACTTTAAATAGTGGTGGTCAGATTGCCAAACAAAAATACAAAGAACTTTTATGGTTGAAAGGTTCAAATAATGACCATAATTTTATGAGAATATTTTATATACTTTCCTATCTTTGCCATGATAGATATATGCATAGCTAATGATGAAAATATATATTTCTTTCTACAGCTAACGGTGAAAATGTATATCTCTTCATTAAGGTTGGAAGGTGAAAATGTATATCTCTCCATTAAGGTTGGAAGTTTAAATACTTACGTACCTCGTAAAAAAAATTATAAATTTGATCTCTATAATTTTAAAATTTTCAATTCTGTCTCCATGGGGTGAGTTTTGTTTAATTTCAGTCTCTATAATTTTAGAAGTTACTTTGATTCCTTGGTTTAGTCAAACTTCACAAATCATTTACTATATTGAATTTTTTTTTAAGTGGCAGTGGGGTAATATTTCTATTTGTTGCGTTAATTAATTGTATTAAGGTCTAAGGCTGACGGAAAGGTAGAAGAAAATAGGAAAAAAAAGATAATTAAGAGACGTGAGGTTTAGCTAGAACCAAATTAAAATTTTTTAAATCATAGGACAATTAAAATAAATTTTAAATTAGAAGAACTAAATTGAAACTTTTAAAATACTAGATTAAAACTATGTCCGAATCCTAAACAACCAAATTTGTTATTTAACCACCATTAAAAAATTGCATCCAGAAGAAATCTACAATGATTTCAGATTCCATGGGCATTATTGCACTTGCTTGATCAGATGGTTGAATGAATGACCCGAGAAAAAAAAATTTTGCTTTCTTTAAAAATCCATCATCCAAACCAAAGCTGGTTACAATTTCCTGTTGAGAACTGAAGTAAACTAGTCTGTCAACATCCATCTTTGTATTGACCACAAATCAAAATTTGGTAACTTTTTAATTTTTAAAAAAATTTGAAAAAAAATGTTCATTTTGCATTTCTTTCTTTTCTTTGTCACAAAAATGAGAAGTAATCCACCAGACATGGATACTTGTTGATAAGCATTTAAATATTTTTGTGTTGATTGGATTTTCTGGTTATTCGATACAGATATCGAGAGAAATTGTTTTATTAGTACAAAGGGGTTTTGAACTCATGATCTCTTAGTCAGAGATATATCTCAATTACCGTTGAACTATGCTCGCTTTGCCTATCGAGAGAAACTGTTGTTGGAGAAACTAATATTAAAATAATAAGAGAATGATTGATTTTTAGGGCAGTTGAAAGAAGCCCTTGGTTGGAAGGTAAGAGCATGTGGGGTGGCCATGTGAAGGGTATCTCTCTGGAAAATAAATAAATGTTGAATAAAGGAGGAACCATCAGCCATGTGAGAAATCATTGCCCCACTACACCAATGGCTAAAGAAACCCATGTACAAAAATGTCAACTTTATGGACAATAATCATATTTGAAAGTAGGTTAAGTAGTAGATAAGGTGGAATGCATGACCAATTGAGTGCTTTAAGATCAATCACTAGCTAATAATTCAAAAGGGATGTGGTTTTGTTACTTTTTTCCCTTGTTTGGATAGCGGGTTTTGTTTTGCATCCTGCGATATTGACTATTTGAGATCTAAATGACAGGGATAATATGAATCTATGTTTTCGGAGAAATAGTAAAATTGAAACAAACTAAGTGTTTAATGTCGTGTGGAGTGGATATTTGATCATTTTGAGTTGGTTTCATTGTTCAAGGTCAAAAAGATTGAGCTGATACTCGCTATTCGATATAATTTGAATAAATTTTATTAATTAAATTTTGAGTGGGACGAAATTTTTTTCACATGCAAAATATTTTGGTAGGTACTTGAAAAGTTAGAGAGCTGTACCGATTATTCTCAAGGGTCGAGTCTCACCCAACCAAGTATCTCTTATCTTCAATAACCACCTCTACTTTCCTTTATTTGTATGCAATCATCACGCCTAAAAGTCTCCTTTCACACCCTAAAAAATTTATAGTCTTTTCTTTGTCATTTGTTTATCCAACTGTCAAGTAACTTGTATTCGCGATGCTTTCTCTTCCAAAATGAATGAAATTTGACTGTAGTTATTTAATAACGTATCTCAAATATCTAATCTTAGATGAATCATGAAAGTGACAACCATATTGTGATGGTCACTCCGAAATAATTCCACTTGAAAAACATTGTTGCGGATAAAAATAGCCTTGTCACGTGGAAGACAGAGAAAGTCCAACAAACAAGGTCTTCCCTACCACTTGAAGGTCTTCCCTGAAGATCGAGGAACGACTTTCCATGGTTAGTCAAATACTGGATAGAAAGACCCTTAAGCAGGATGAAGGTCTCCCCACCCAGAACATGCAAGCTCGACGGGCTGACCTTCGACACGACATGTCCAACCATCAGTTGGATCTCCTACCGGATATCCTAACCTATAAATAGAACACTTCACTCCTCAACCACGTATCACATTGTAGATCGATCTCTATACTAAGGTTGAACTCAAATTGACTTGAGCGTTGGAGTGTTGTTCCCTTGTGCATGTCTTTCCTTGCCAAGTGGCTTTGCAGTTCATCCCGCTCCCCCAATCAGCCTGCCTTTACCAGATTGACCTCGATCAATATTTGTTGCACAAAAAAACATAAAATTAAAGTAAAACATGTATGTGGTGGGCCGTGGGATTTCAGTGCAAACTCATCCAATTCTTTCATCTTTGGGACAGGCTCTTGTGACATAATTAAGACATAAGAAGGGGACACAACAGTGGTCATCTTCAGTGGCCAAAAACACCCATGAGACAAGCATTCTGCTGTCAGTATGCAAGAGCAAGACAGACACCGATGAAATTTCACAAGGATTTTTTTTCCTTTTTTTCTTTTTTTTTTTCCCCTCAATCTTAGCAAAATCAAAAGGTAGGTCTTTTCTACTTCAATAGCCCCACATGACTCTTTCAAGGCTATCCATTTGGCCCTATTATTTCTGAAAATTTGTAAACTTTAATTTGGAGTGCTATTTCTGAGTAAGTCACATGGGAAAGCAAAGACAGAAGCATTTTTGGTCTCTCACAAATCCCCCTCAGCCTCTCTCTGCCTTTCATACTTCACGCAGTTTGTCCCATTTTGGTTCTCACACATTAATGACCTACAAGACTTGAAGTATTTCAAAATTTATTGTCAACCTCTTACAATTTGAGATAAATTTGCTCGGGTTTTTATTAACATTCTGTTTGCGTTGGTTGAAGTGATTCCAATAAAAGTGTGATATTTTTTAATGAGACAAATACGAGAGGAGAGTTATCAATTGAGTTTTGATATATGACGATGAAGGGTGGCACCACCCTATAGCTATGACATTATGCGTCATATTGATGATTTCGATTAAATATAATAAAGAGCAAAGATTTTATTGAAGATCATGGAAATAGATGAGTGAAATAAACCAACTAACAAGATAGACAAAGGTGTGTAACCATGTGTCAAATTAACGTGGTCCAAACTAAACATGGATTGATAATGGATCGGTATTGTGTTGAGCTGACATAGACAATCATTGGCACTTGACATTGTCTAAGGATATGAATTAGTAGCGAGCCTCATTGATTAATTGAACAAGATTTGTCCTTATGCGTGACACTAAAACTTACGTCACATCTCTGGAATATAATATAAAACTTTGCTTGTTTTAAGCTAAATCCCACACATTTTTACATATCCAAAATTATATTCAAAACGACACCATATGATAATGCGACTATACGTATTCAAGACATTCACGGCTTTTAATTGATAGAAAACTATTATTTTGCATCCCAAACATATGTAATGTTGGGTTAATAACACTAATTTGGATTTAAGGAACGACGAAAAAGGAATTAGGGAGGAGTAGCACGATGTTTTGTCCCAAAAAGGGAAAATAAATGAAATGTTTAGTGGTTTGGAATGAGTGACAAGACTTCTCTCAAAAATAATGTAACATGTTCATTGTCGTCCACTTCAAAACTTTCAAGTAAATGACCAATTGCTGTCTGCCAAGCGTCCAAAATTTTGGGAGGCAAATTTAACTAATAATTGGTCATTTCATTTGCTTGGGACAAGGGAGAAAAATTAGTGCAAAACATGGTAAAGACTAACTTCCTAAATTAAACCTAACTTTAGTACCTACCTAAGTGATCGATAGCCTTCTAATTTTTTTGGGGGAAAGAAAGTGATAGCTCAATACCCATTTGTTATTGTTTTCGTTTCTCGTTTTTTATTTTCCAGCTCTTTTATAATAAAGAAAAATAGAATTGTGTGACCTGCAACACCTGTAGATTCAATAATGATAAAACAAGATCTTTATTTATGTTGGAACAAATTGGAAACGGGAACAAGAAACAATAAACTCGTTGTTGTTGTTTCCCAAATTTATAGACAATTTTGAGAATGTTTCTAAAAAATGAAAAACAAAAAACATAAATGGTTGTCAAATGCTCATGTTTATTCATAATTTTGAAAACGAGAAACAAGAAATATGAACGTTACTAAACTGGTCTTCAAAAGGTCGGTTCGTCTATTTTTGTTATTTTCAATTTTGTGTGGTTTAAAAATGGTTTTGAATGGCTTTATGTAGCTTGTGAAATTTATAAGGATACTATTTTGTTAAAATTTAACCATATTTTTAGCCACATATATCGATTCTATTAAGGATAGTTGATAGACGTTGGAAATGTGTGTGAATATGTTTGGAGAAAAATGGCAGTTGGTGTATATATATATATAAAATAATTGGCCAAATTGAGRAAAAAAAACTCAACCAACATGCAACAAACATTAGTTTCAAAATTAACTTTAAAAACATAAGTAAACGATCAAAGTATGAATTTTCAACAATCATATTTTATTTGAGTTATTGAAATAAAAGAAAGATGTAAAAAAGGAACCGCATCTTATCTCTCATTTCAAAATTACAAATCAAAAGAGCAATGTCTAGTCTTGCATTTGTCGGGAATATTCCAATGAATCCTCCTATCGTGAACAAAAAGATGGACTCTACGGCAAATAACATGGGTGTTATGTATTGTATCGAATCCCCACATGATCCAACTAAAAATTTTGATTCTAATGGGAACGACTATGATCATGGTAGCAGYTGTGAAGTAGGCACGAATATCAACGTCTAAGTCCACAGTAAACATTTGATGAGTCCAGAAAAAAAAACATATATATAATTCAAATGGTGAGAGGTTGGAAGATTAGAAATTCTCCCACTAAATTACTCCTAGGGAAAAAAAAAAGATTTTAAAAAATTTCAATTATTTTATGATTAACCAAATATTCTAATCAACACAAGTGAGTCCCAACCATTCAAATCCAATCAATGGGATATTGAACCACTAAAACGYAGGGGTCATTTTCCAACCAAATCAATTCTGACATAAAAAATAAACAGAAAAACAAATAATTGATTCCCCAAGCTCAAACCTTAGCCCTTCCTCCTTCGAGAAAATCCCCTCATTTTTTTTCCTTACCATTTCTAACAAGAGACAACTTCCCCAATTTTTGTATGGAATAATTTATTCTTTTTCCTTTTTCTTATTAAAGGTTTGGTACGTACACATGTGTGAGGTGAGAGATCAAACTCACAATCTTTTGATTGGAGATATATGTCCATTACCGTTAGCTATACTCGTTTTGCCTTATTAGCAGTTTAATTATTCATAGTTTTCATTTATATATTTTTGTTGTTTGTTGTGTTTTTGCATGAATCATCACACTTCAATCGACTATATTTTACCAATTCATTAAACAAAATTTTTTAAACAGAAAGTACAAATAATGGGGTAGAAGTATTTTAAGTTGAACCGTCGTCAATTAATATTTTAGAATCTTTTAATGAGTCTTCRTGACCAACCCTCCTTCATATATTATATATTAAAGATTTTATGTATAATTATATTTTTAATTCGTATATTAACTTAAAGTTTCAATTTTTGGTCTCCTTCATCAAATAAATTAACTTGTCATGTTAGATTTATTTAAGTAGAACAAATATTAAAATAGAAGAATGAACCTCTGATTTCAAAAAAGAAGTAAGATGTCTAAATGGTTGAGGTAAATCCATGTCAGCTTTGTTGATCTCCAGTTGAAATATATATGTATATACATTTGCTAAACCCAACTTTAACTATATGTTATTTATTGATTTTCTTTTGAATACGACAATATGTTTAGGTGGAGATTCGAACTTAACGATCTTTTGATCGATGATAGATGTCTTAACCAATTGAAYTATGTCCAGATTGATCAATTATTGTATTTTTACAACRGGGAAAAATGCCTCGCGTTGCTYCTATATAATATGATAGGATTTTCTTGAAAAGAAGAGAGAGAGATAGAGAGGAGAATCCAAGTAATAAGACGACTTTAGTCAACGGTTATAATTGGTATAACAAAGATTGATACAAGGCCAAAGGGAATTTTGGTATATTTAATACCTTAAAGAACCATCCGTCCAAAGGTCCCCCGACCAACTCCTTGTCCCATTTCCCTTCAAACATGCAGCTGATTATGCCAAAACTCCTTTTTCTAATCTATTTCTCTCTCTTCCGCCATTGATGCCCACTGAGAAAACCTTCAAAACCAAACCCCACTTTTACCCACATCACAATTATCCAATCCAGCATCTGGGTCGTCTTCTCTCCATCCAATTGGGCAAAAAGAGTTTGGAGCTTTCGGCTATGGAGATGGAGCTGGTTGTCACGTGCGATTGCTGTGGGCTGAAAGAGGATTGCACCCAATTCTACATCAGCGAAGTGAAGGCCAAATTCGAAGGGAAATGGCTGTGTGGGCTGTGTTCTGAGGCTGTCAGAGACGAAGCCAAGAGGAGCAAGAAGCCATTGGAGGGATCGGTGGAGGAAGCTGTGAAGGCCCACATGTCGTTTTGCCGCAAGTTCAAATCCAACCCTGCCATTCGTGTGGCCGATGGAATGAGGCTCATGCTCAGGAGGAGGTCCAGCGACATGTCGTCTTCCTCTTCTTCTTCTAATTCTAATTCTAATTCTTCTGCTAAGAAATATGGGAGATCGGCCAGCTCCTCGCAGGTGGGCTTTGAATCGTCTATGTCTTTGTACTGATTTTGGTCAATTTCTTATATAATTAATTAATTAACCATTAGGGTTTCCATCTCTGATCCCCTTTCTTGATTATTGGAATAATACGCCATTGAAGGCCTTTTTCAAAGCTTTCTTCTTTTGTATAGATGAAAGTCTATTAACACTATATGGGGATTTCCTAGCTAGTACTCTTCCCTATGAACTATGTGTTTTTGGGAAAATGAATGCCATGTTAAAATTACCATTTTTATTTCTCAGAAAGAAAATGTTATTATTTAAGAACATAGAAATGATTAGTATTGATCCGTTGCATCTTGAAATTAATTGGCAAAGAAACRAGTAGCCTATGTCGGAAACAACAAACTTCAATCATATCATTTATGTCCCTCCATACAAGTACAGGTTTAATCTACAAATATCTCTTCTTTTCTGCCACGAAGCTTACATCTGAGGATGTTTTTTATTTACCTTCACGCATTTTGAAAAGAGTTGCTAAATTAAGTTYTKTTTTACCAATAGTCGAGACCCAATCGGAAGATGTTTCGGTTTATATTCYTACTAATGTAATTTTCWTTACTGATGGATAAATATYCTTATTTGCTGATTAATGCCGGAATCAGACGCATGCTACTAATGTGGGGAGTTCCGTCTCCGGAGTAGGATCTACAGCTCAAATTACAACCATGAAAATCCCGGTAGCCCCGACATTAGTACTTCTGTTAATTGGTGGTTGAATTCGAATTACCCACCATTTATTTGTAATATAATGTTGTTAAAATAATAATATAGGAAGAGTAATAATTGGAGTGAAAAAGGGCAAAGAGTTGTGCACATGTTTGTCAAATGGGTTGAGAAGACATAAAAAACTATATTGTATTCTTTATGGTCTTAAAAAAACATAGAAAAGAAAGAAGGTTAGATCAAAAGATTTGTATAAGTTCAGATGATGAATAATTGAGTTTGGTAAAAGAAAATAGGGATTTAACTTTTGCCTTTTTTTTTTCTTGATGAAATTATTAAGGGTGGTTGCATTATTTTGAAGCAAAATTTTTCATTAGAAAAATTAGAGTTGGCCTTTTGCCCCAAGTTGAGCCACGATATATAAGAGGGCCCATCTTTAATTTATTTATTTAGTTACTTGCCAAAGTTTTAACTAAATTCTCAAGTAGATAACCAACCCTTTTGCATCTCTCATAATCAACTAATTACGTTTATGAAATTATATAATTAATTAGAAGATTCATGAATCTTGAATCAATGATGATTTAGTTAGGAAATTTTGTTATAATAATTTTAAATGATTGAATTATGTGTATTTGGTGATTGAATCTCCCTCCCTCCCTTTCATGTCTAAATCAGATCATGTAATTTGATCTTTCATTTAATTTGAGATTAGTTAATTTTTTGTATTCCTCAATAATAATAATAATAATAATAATTTTTTTTGAAAAAAAAATATCTTTTTGGTCTTATATTTGTTAAGTGAGTCAATTTTAACGTTAAGATCTTAATTTCATCTCATTAAACACTAATTTTGAAATAGTTGTTAAATTAAAACCTTACAATTCACAATCAAATTTGTGAATAATCTAAACCCAACTAATAAATCATTCAAAACCTTCCAAAATCTAGCACTCACAAAAATAATTCTATTAGTTGCAAGAATGTTTGCATCTAGCTAGAAATCTCCAAAATAATAGAACTTAGCTTAGAATAGATTTCGACGCTTACAAAAAAAATAAAAATAAAAAATGATGAAATCAAATTCTAATGTTTTTAAAGCAAATTTAAAATTTAATGTTTTTTTTTACGGAATTAAAACCCAATGTTAAAATTAGGTTGATTGGGTTTTTTTTTCCCTTGCAAATGTAGCTTGAATATTAATTGTAAAATGGAAAAATGTTATAATCGGGTTCAAATTGACTGACTAAAAGACTAAAATGTCTTCACTGGTCCACTAGGTAAGAATTGCGAATCTGAATATAGATCCATAGATAAAAGTATCTATTATTATCTCAAAAGTTGATAGTTTGATTCTTTGTCTCAATGATTATTAAACTAAAAAAAAAGCTACTTATATCACTGTGTTACATGCCGAGTAAAAAAAAAAAACAAGGTTATTTATGAGATCAAACTTTAATAAAAATAGAAAGGATCAAAATACTTAAATGTCTGGTTGGACGATCATTTTGATTTTGGTTTCTTATTTTTTAAAATTAAAATGGTAAACATTACTTTCACCTGTGTATTTCTTTATTTTGTATGTATTTTATTGTAACTGCTTCCAAAATCTAAGCCAATTTTTGAAAACTAAAAAAAATAGTTTTAAAAAATTTGTTTTCATTTTTTAAATTTGGCTAAAAGTTTAAATGGATTGGAAATGTACCTACAAAATAAAGAAATTATAAGGATAAAGCATAATTTTAAAAAATATATTTTTCTTTTTTGAGACAAAACGAAAACAATGTTCAAATTGAAGAATGAAAGAAATATTGAGACAAAAGAATATGGCCAAATAAAATAGAGGAAACTGGGAAAAAAACGAATAAAATATATTTTTTCCTTTTTAGACAAAACGAAAACAATACTGACATTTATGTTCAAATTAAAGAATGAAATTACTGGATTAGTGCAATAAAATTACTCAAATTTCTCAAATCTAAGTGGACAAAATAATAGGAACAGAAAAGGAAAGAAAAATAAAATCCTTTAAATGAAACAACAAAAACAACCCATATTTGAAATTATTTTCCCTTAATAACAAAATTGTAAATATTATATTCCTAATTGCTATTTCCGAATGTACATGGATCATAATATCTATCTATCATCTAAATCGATATATCTAAACTCTAAAAATATTTTTTCCCAAAATAAGTAAATAACTAATATTTAAACACAACGAGGCCACTATTTTATTATTATTATTATTATTTTTAATTTCAACTTCCCATATTTTGATCTCAGATTGGCATAATGAAAAATATTTAATTAGAAAACTTTCCATATCTGATGTGGAAGTAAATAAAGAAACAGATCCCAACTGACCGTTGGGAATTCAAATTTCGAAACCCCGAATCTCTCTCTTCTCCGATTAAATTTTCCCGTCTCTCCCATCGACTCTGAAAATTTGGGTTTTCGGAGGAAACGACAGAAGCCATGAAAACGGTTCTTTCAACCTCAGCTTCTTCGAATTCAACCATCACCGCCGCCGCCGCCATGGAAGAGGATGAGCGATCGGAAGCCCGTGACAGCTGCTACTACCCCGGTTGCCGGAAAGATGCGAATTGCAGTTGCAAAATTTGCTTAGACAGTATCAGCGCCACTTTGGATCTAATGCCTTACAGTGTTCAAAAAAGTTCCCTCACGAAGCTCTCTGCCTCGCGGCCTAATGTCGAAACTACTCCGATTTCGTTCGACGCTTCGATTTTGACGACGCCGACTTCGGACACACCTCGGATCTTGTCGTTCCCTGATTTCAAATCTCCGGTGAAGTTGAGTTCGAGATTCAAGGCTGAGACAAGGGAGGGCAATTTGGATTCGTTGCGTCGGTTTCTGAAGTTGATTTTTGTTCTGAGTTTGATCTTCGCGGCGGCTGCTGGGTTTTCTTGGGCGATCGCTGGGGTTATTCGGCCGTCGTTGTCGGCCGAAATTGTTAGAACTGCGGGTAGGAATTCTCAGTTTGTGCAAGATTTGAATGGAAAATTGAGGGTTTTGCAGAGGGAATTGCAGGGCATGGTGAAGGGGGAGATTTCAAATTGCAGTTACACGAATTCCATGTGGAAAATTGATCAGGTAGATTCAAAAACCCTCTTGTTTCAAAAGAATTGGAGGAGAAAATTCCTCTGTTTGGTCTATATTTACAGTTGTATTCTTCACATTTTATGATCTATGGCCTTAGAATTTTGATTTGTGCTTCCATGGCAGGAGGGAATGCTGTTATGTTCAAGGTGCACAATCTACAAATCAGCTACAGAGACAGTGAGCATATGGGGATGGCCTCTGCAGACTGCTGGACTGCTCAGTAGCGGATTTTCGCAACGGTCGTTCACAATCTTATCAGGCAGAGTTACAGAGGTAAACTCAAAACCTGTTGAATTGAATAGAAAAAGTTGATCAAAGTCTGATTATGGACAGAAAAATGAATGATATTCTATTGATGTTTTTGGTCTTTCTGGTTTCTTAGTGGTCTGATGGAGGGATCGGTTACCTGGTTCGAGAGGCGAACACTTCTTGGGTGCAGAAAAAATGGGGCGCCTCAGCTGTGCAATTTGATCCTCATACATGGGTCCTCGAGTATCGACAGAGCTCGTTGTTAGAGAATTCGAGCTTGAATGTGATGGCTGCTGATTTCTTCAAGCATTGGATGTTGAAAGTCATAAGAAGATTGAAGGATGAGCTTTGGCTGGTTTTGGATGTTGAGACTATGTTTCATCAGATTACAACTACTACTGATTTTAAGATTCCAACATGAGGAGAATGGCGTTCTAAAGTGAGAAACTTTTTAAATTTTATTTTACTTTCTTTCTTCCTCTACTTTTTTGATGGAGCAAAATTGATTTATTTTGTCTCCTATGTCATAGAGTTGATGCTATCTGTAAATGTAACTCAATATAATCAAGTTTCCATCTATTTGATGGTTTCTTTTTCTGACGATAATTGCTTAAGTAATCAGAGAAAACCACCCTTGAAGAACTCTACTGTAAAAGTCATTTTAATAAGACTACATATTTACAAAAATTGGTCACCAATAGTCGTTACATGAACACGAACCGTCTCTGTAATGGTGAAATCTAGTTCTGTCCCTAATGATAATCTCTCTGGCATAAACCTTAGAGGCTAATTTCATAAAAGTATGACAATCTTCACAAATCCTAAGGTTCTTTATAATGCGAATGTGTGACCCTTCGTTCATGAGGGCATAGCAAAGTGCCAGTTTCTCGCTGTGCCAGAGGATTGCTTCCTTCCTTTCTTCTTCGTCTAAATCAACAAGAACGCAATCTACGCGAGGCGTATAACCAGCCATCTTCAACTTTTGAACTACCTCATCTAACTTTTGATATATTTGATCTGCTTGCCTGTGCTTTCTATCTGCCATTTGAAATTCATGCACCTCATTGTTCAATTCAACTCTACTGCATCCTCTCTCTTTGGCAACGCCCATCTCATTCATTAGTTTTCTAACTTCCCCAACGTCTTCCCATCTCCTTTCTTTAGCGTATACATTCGATAAGACAACAAAGGCCCCATCGTGATTTGGCTCGAGCTTTAGAACTTGTTTAGCAGCAAACTCTCCTAACTCAGTCTCGCCATAGACCTGACAAGCAGCCATAAGGGATCCCCAAATAATAGCATTAGGAGCAAAGGGCATTGCCTCTATCATCTCAAGAGCTTCTCTCAGAAGATTTGCACGGCCAAAGAGGTCAACCATGCAACCGAAGTGTTCGTGTTTCGGACTAATGCCATAGTCATTGATCATTGAGTGAAATATTTTTCGGCCTTCCTCAACTAGACCTCCATGGCTACAAGCATAAAGCACCCCAACAAATGTGATCCAATTAGGCTCAACATTTTCATCCTTCATTTGATGAAATAGGTTTAGAGCATTATGAGAATCTCCATGCATTGCAGAAGCATTAATCATACATGTCCAAGATATAACATTCTTCTTTGGCATCTTTTTAAAAACTTCCCTCGCTCCTTCTAGACTCCCACATTTGGCATACATATCAATGAGTGCATTATTGACGGATAATGCCTTGTCGAACCCATTTTTATCAACATAAGTACAGATCCAATTGGCTTGCTCTAATGCACCAAGATGAGCACAAGCTGAGATGACACTCAACATGGTCACTACATCAGGTTTTATTCCCAGTAGTTGCATTTTCTTGAACAATACAAGAGCCTCTTGAGGGCAATCACTCTCAGTATATCCAGAAATCATTGCACTCCAACATATCAAGTCCTTCTCCACCATTTGATCGAACACATAGCGAGCATCACCAATCTGTCCACATTTTGAAAGCCCAGAAACCATGGCAGTTGAAACAACCATGTTTTTGGGGGATATCTTTTCATACAAATCCCAAGCCAAATCCATGGAGCCACAACTTGCGTACATCGTGATGAGAGCACTTTGTAAGTGAGGATCCATGACAATATTCTTCTTAGTAATGAACTCGTGTATTCTTGTTCCATAATCCAAATTTCCAGCACGAGCGCAGGCAGAAATAATGGTTGAAAGAATCATCTCATCAGGTTCCATGTCTGTTCTCTTCATTTCTTCGAAGAGTTGAAAGGCAAGATCATAACAGCCACTTATGCAGTACCTGTATGCTTGAGGTTACAGGAAAAATATAAGTTCCATAGTCATTTTTCTTCTAAATAGCTATGCATTTAAACCAGAGAAGGATGAGATAGAAAAATTACTGCCATAAGTAGCATCTCTCCCAAATGAACAATGTAAGGGGCCAATATAAATATAATGTTCTTCCATATTTGAAGGCTACCAAAAGTGGCAACAATATCCATGACTATAACATAGTTATAACTGTAACAATCCATCATAAAATGGTAAGTATAGAAGTCATGGCTTTTTAGAATAGTACCATTCAAATAAAGAGCCTAAGGAAAATTACCAATACCTTGACTACTGAATTTTGCCAATCCAACAATCACTAGTAAGTAAAGAGCAAAATTTTTACATTTAAGTTCATATTTTGAAAAGAAATTGGTTGATAAATGCAGTTACAATTACAATCCAGAATAGAAGTTGGCGTACCCATCAATCATGATGCTCCAAGTGACGACATCCCTGTGAGACATTTTATCAAACACCAACCGTGCTTCCATAAGCCTTCCACAGGCCGCATACATTCTCACCAACCCCGTCTCCACAAATGGGTCTGGACCAAACCCCAACTTCGACGCAAGTCCATGAATCTCCATCCCCGTTCTCAAAGACAGATTCCTAGAAGCCGCTTTCAAAATCGGCGGGAAGCTGAACCGGTCCAGACTCAGACCCTCGGCCCTCATCTTCTCGTACACAAAAAGCGCATTCTCCGGCTTCGGACCCCGAGACAATTCGCGCAGGAGCTTATTGCAGAAACGGGTCTTGGGCTCGGGGATTTGATCGAAGACAGAGAGGGCATAGTCGAGGCTGGAGGAGAGAGCACAAGATGAGAGGACAAGTTTGAAAAGAAGGGAATCGGAATCGTAGCGTTCGAATTTGGAGCGAAGGATTTGAACGTGGACTTGTTTGAGGTGTAGGAGAGTGGAGGCGGAGGCGAGAGCGGCGGCGAGAGTGGTGGGTCTGGTGGAGAATGCGTGATATTGAAGTGGGAGGGCGGAGGTTGAGTGGCTGAGCGTTTCCATGGCGTCGGCTTAATCAGAAGTAGAAGATGGAGCGATAGAGAGTTGCAGTAGTTTACAAGACAACATCTGAAGGAAATTTGGAAGCGAAGCAGAGCAACGGTGGAGCGGTGGGATGGGGAAAATGCAGGGAAGACGTTGGATCCTCATGGCTCATCATTCGGAAGATGGCCCGGAAAATTGACTCAAATAATCCTCAAAATTTTCCACTCATTCAAAACATAATTCCGTGGCTCACTAAGTATTAATGAAATATTAGAGGTGGAGAAATGACTATTATATTCTAAGTTACGAAATTTTGGTCATGAAGTTGTATTATAATCCACTTGGATACATTTAATTCTAAAAATTAACTTTTCACCGATCACTATATTCTCGTATTCAGTTTTACTTTTATTCTTCCAATCTATACTATCATCACTAATTTTACAAATAAAGAAATAAAGAGTCGTGAATATTTTCTCTTTACAGAATCTTAAAAAATTAGAAAAGTACTTTCAATTGTGAATATCCTCTTTGAAAATTTGAAAAATGTATTTTCAATAGTAATTTCAATTTGAAGAATTTGAATAAGGTAGTATTAAAAATGTTCTTTTATATCGTTGCTTCCTTTATTTTCTTAAGGCTACATTTCAAAAGCTATTTTTTATTTGGCTCTTCATTTGGTTTGTTTTTATTACAATTGGAGTAGGGTCATCGTACGAAGTTATTTTTGAGAGGGTGCTCCATTGATTTCGAAGGCTAAATGATCTTTCCCGCAGAGCTCACGGGAAGGTTTGGCTGTTGGACGTGGGCTCTTTGGCCCATAAGTTTTTACTGTTCCAAGGCCCAAGGTTGTAGGCCCAGTCCATAGCTGTCCTCAAAGGGATTTGCTTCTCAATCTCTCAGGTCTCACTTTGCTCCGTTTAGCCGTCGTGTTTCGTGATCGGAGCCCCGCCATGGGTGAAGCTTTATTCGAACTCGAACAAGTTCTCAGGTCCAAACAGGTATCTCACTTTCCATGATATTCTCCCCTCCGATTTCTCTTCCATTCTGAAATTTGCGGCTTTGAAAACTCACTTAAGTTCCTCTACGCTGTATATCGAAGTTAGTTTTGGGATTGATTGTTGTCAAGGATCCACATGGAACCCCGAGGAATCTGTTTTTTCATTTGATTCGATAATCGAGTTCCTTTTTGGCATTGAATTGGAACCGATTTTGGTTCGAGCCAAGACTTGCCTTAATCTGTTGCTCGTCAGTTAATTGCAAATTCCTACGTTTTTGCTTTTGTTCCATGTCGTTTAATTTTTTACGTCTACTCGTTTTTGCAACATAGAACAGCTTGACGATCGAGGAAGCAACTTTGCTTCAAACATGTAAATCTAAGGCCGTTCGAGATTTTACATTTGGAGCTCTAGCTGGAGGTGGTGTGACATGGGCAGGTATGTTGTAAAAAATGCGACATAATTCATCTTCCTTCCATCTGAAAATTTGGTGAGGATACATCCAGCTGTTTAATTTTCTGTATTGATGTGTTTATGCCCGTAGGAGTAGGACTGCCCAGCCAGATCATCTCTTTTTCCAGTTTTACACTGTTCTTTTCATTTAATAACTATGAGGAACATTTGTAAGTAATAGTCAAATTTCTCTCACTCTATTCAATATCTATAGTTCCCTACAGATTGAGTTTATTTTGCTCGTGCTTAAGTGCTAATTCTCTTCACTTTATAAATTAATATATAGAGCTATAACTTCGGATAAACTACTATTTGGTTTCATTTTATTCCATATTGTTTTGTAGACAGGCAGCAAAAAATAATTGGGGATAAAACTTAATTTCCAAACCCGAAGGATTGTTGGGTGGGAACTGGGAAGGATTGGGATTTTTGGAGATATCCTCCCCTCCAAGGTCCTATGTTCAAGCCTTAGGTCGAATACATAAAAACTTAAAGCCTTTGTCATCTCTTGGAGTGGCTTTGGAATGGGCGGATTCTTCTTGGGGATTAGTGGGGTAGGCCATGTATAATCCAAAGAATGAGGCCTCTAAAACCCGGTTATTAAAAGAAAATTTTAACCTATGAAATTAGTGGGGGGTTTGTCTGTTGAATCAATTGGTATGTTGTGCATTTTGGTGATCGAATAACTTGTTCCCTCATTATAATGAAGAGAAAATCTAGCAAGCTATTTAAAGCTTGTGTCACTGTGTTGCTATTTATGGTACAAGAAATACCACATACACTCGAATATAGATTGATTCTTAAATGTTTGCAGTGTCTTCTAGCTGCCATTTCTCCTGTCTCTCGTTTTTTCCTTTATTTACTCTTTTGTTTCCTCTGGCAGGAACATGGAGGCTGAATAAATTCATTCGGCTAAATCTTTCTGGAGGTAAAATGAACTCTCTCTCTCTCACTCTATCTTGCACACGCCACGACAGAACTCTGTTCAGTCACATATATGCAAAATTAATTGCTCATTCTTAGGTTCTGCAGAAGTTAATTTTTAATTCATTTATTAATGGTTGTATTTTGGCAGGAGCTGCTGCGCTATTTGGATTATGGAGATTTAGCAGGTCCCTGAATTCGTGCGTCGATCATATTCTTGCACTGGATGGAAGTAGAATGCAGAAGGAGTTGGCAAATATGTATGTCACTCACCCTTATTAATATTTGAATTTTCTTAGTAGTGCCATGCAAGAAAAACAAAGTTTACTGATGTTCATGCAAAACCACGTTAAACAACACTTGAGCTACGAATCATCTAAAAATCTGAATGATGTAGCTTTGATCTCTTGTTGTTGGGAGCTATGAGTTAAAATCTTGTTATATGCTTGTTCTTTATTTGGTATATCTGTTGCTAGAATTATTGATATTATCGACCTTTTTACTTTTTGTGAATGATGAGCACATTAACAGAAGCCAAGTTATGATATAATTTGATTAAATATAACAAAATAGGTGTCTGAGCTCACTATCCCAGCATAGTGGCCGAGTGAATAGGTGCCATTATGCCACTCAGGTCCTGCATGAGTGCTGAAAATGCTTTCAAGCTGGCTTAACTGGAGAAACAATGGGGCTAACCAAGCTAGCGAGTATCCTTTTGGCACCAAAGTCGGTGCACGAGCACGAAACTACTTGAAGCTTGTTTAATCGGAGAAAGAAGGGGGTTATATACTTGTATTAGTTTACTAAGACTAAGAGCTGCAATAACTCAACAGGTTAGATTGATTGTTACCATAGGGTGACCTTTTGATGATGTTGGCATAGGTTAGTAAACTTTAGTTATACTGATCATGGAATCCCATACTTTTCTTAATCCTATTCTTAACTAGTGGGGTTTTGAATCTTGATTAAGTCATTATGGTAAGTTCTCTTGTAATGTCCAGAAATTATTATCTCAATGCAGTGTAGTGACGAAATATCACAATGATCCTCGTACGATGCAGCACATATCCAAGCATTTTTATTATGAGAAAGTTTTTGATGATTCAACCTTGGACCGTCCAAGAATAAGGTGGCGTTATCGAAATTTCTTTAGTGATGATGTTGCTCATGGTCAGAGGACACATGACAATGACACTAAGAACAACTTGCATGGAAATTCGCACCATTACTCATCCAACCATGATTCCAATTCCAACCAGAATTACTCCTACGATGAGCCTGATGACAAAGGAAATGCACTTGAGTTCAAGCCAGTCCTTGTATGTGCAATAATTCAGTTTCTGTTCCCATTTGATTGATACTTCTATGATTGTTTACTTATAGTTTCTGATTATATATTATGTGCTAATACTGATCAAAGCAAAAGGCAGTATGGTATGCTCTAGACTCTAGAGGAAGACCCCTACCTGTGCATCCCTTGAATTTCATTAACGTGGTTTTATTCAATATTACATAATTGGACTATCAATTAGGGTAGTAATGATTTTAGTGTTATAATATTTATATGGATAATAGATACTGGAATCTGGATTCAAATTTTGAAAGTCTAAATATCAATAAATGTGGTCATTCCTTACTTGTGAACTGCAACACAGCATACTCAAAATTATATGATCTCAAGCATTGTAATTAAAAGTTCCTGGAATTGATAAGTATGTATCAGAGATGCAAGAAAGTCCTTCCAGGTTCTCAACAAGTTGCCTTGCATCACAAGAAATTGAATATAGTGGATTCGAAAGGGGATGATTCACTGGGAAGTCTGGGATACAGGTGTTAATGTGTTATGTTGCTGTCTTGGTCAAATGATCTTTCCTTGTTCAAATTGATGGATATGTCGCATACCTGAGCGGAAAACTTCGCACATGATAAGAATTTGAACATTCAAGTGGAAAGAAATGCAATTGATTGTTTTATCATTACACTAAAATGAACTAGTTGCAATGACATGATGTTTTTCTATCTTTTTGTCTGATTTGAACTTCTGTTATATGCAGACTAAGCCGGGTACTGACGCTACGGCAGACCCGCTGGATTGTCTTTTTGGTCCACTGGCAAAAGGAGAAGAAATTCAACATTCGAATTCCTCCACCACGACATTCAAATCTCACTCTCGTAGTAGAAGATACCATCGTCGGCATCGAAGACATAATCAAACGGTACCAACAAGCTTCGAACATGTGTAATTTCAGGTTCTATTCATTCTAAGAAGAGATTTTAAGCCACCTTGAACGTATGTTTATTGCGTGTATTTTTGTACCTAAGCATGTAATTGAAGGAGGAATCTTGGACTTGCTTATACAATACACTCCAAGTGCAGTGTTGTCATTTGCCTATCATTGGAAAAAGAAAGATGGTGTATAATTGTTACCATCATGTTCTTTATGGTGAATTAATGGCCAGGATATACAGAGAAGCCATAGCCATCCATAGTGCAGGATCCACGGAGCAGTGACAGAGACGATGGCCATGGTGGTCTGAGATGGGAGAGCAATGTTCCAAAGAACACGGTAGTGGTTGAAGGTTGGAAACTCCAATCTCTTTTCCAGTTGCTGAATTTTCTAACATCCTTCAAAGATTGTGGGGAAAATCTTTGTTTTTTTCAGACCACGCGGCTGTTGAAAGTGAAAGCTCTACGCAAGAAAGACGACTGGTGAATGGGAATACGCGTTAAGAATGGTAAATGGCTTTTGTCTTGTTTACATTAATCTGATATTCTTAGAAATCCTTCACTTATGAGATAAATAACACATTTTTTCTTCTCCTCTCTCTGTTTTTGTGGAGGGTTCAGGCATTGATGCCTCTTGTTGGGAGCCATCCTTTTAAATTTTTGTACTGTGGGGTGAAAATTATTTGTTGGGTTCAGATTCAGAGCAGTTGAAAGGAAAATGAGTGATTTAAAATTGAAATTGAAGCTTTTGGCTTTTATCAATTTGGAATCTTAGGCGCATGATTGTGGCCCTACCGCACGCATAGTGCCGCAATAGATATCAGACAAAACATATAATAAACCCAAGCCTTCTTTTCCCTTTTTTTATTATTATTTTTTTAATTTTCTTTTCTTATTTCTAAGCTTAAGCTTCAATAGTTCAAATTCGACATGATATTAATTATTATTGTAAATATAACAATTTTTTATTTTCAGTTTTTTAAGAATTAAGGTCGTTTTCTCAAAAATAAAATTAAGCTTTTGAGAATTACTATGTTTTAATTCTAACTCGTTAAAATAATGAATTTTTTTAGTTCAATTAGAGTTGGCATTCGAACATATGATAGGAGGATTTATGTCTTAATCGAACTATGCAACGGATTGACTTAAAATTTTTAGTCGGAGTTTAAATTTGCAAATTTTACTCAAATGAATCAAACTGATAGAAAGTATTTTTAACTGTTACCAAGAAACAAATCAGTAACTCTTAGAAAAAATAATAATAAGAAGAAAGTTTGAATTATTTCTTTTGTTAAGGTGTTTTTATGTTTGTGTTAACTTTCGTCTCTGTATTTTTTTAAGTTTCAATTTTGATTTTGTTTTATTGTATTTTTTTTATTTTATTAATTCAATGATGTCAATTAATAATGTCTAATATAACAAAAAATTAATAATAATATGCTGAGTGGACTGATGTGATGTTGATGACTTATAATGATAAAGTTCATTGAGACTAATAAATTAAAGTACATTGATGAAAATTCATAAAACATTGCAGTATTTAAAACTTTGGCTTGTGAGTTGTACTGTTATAGATTGAGTTCTTCCTATAACTTAACAAATATTTAATAATATCTTATAATCAAATGTAACATCTTAATATCTTATATAAAAATGGAAGCAGAATACAAACAGAAGAAGATTTATGGTCACAATAGAAGATTGGATTAAAATTTATCTAAAAATTCTCCACCTGTAATTTGTTTAAAATAACATGACCGACTTTGTAATTTCATTAAATTTAAAGGTCGAACTTTAATTCTTATAAATAATAATAATTTAACTCCAAAAAAGAAAAAAAAAAGGAAAAATCCATTTCCCTTCCTTTTTATATCTGCTGAGCGATGTTTCGAAGTTTTGCTCTCACGTCTCTCCCTGTAATTCTCTTCCTCGAATGTTTCTTCTTCGTTTCGATTCAATTTCCCAATTTTCTCAAATTTCTCCATGACATAATTTCCTCTTTCAGTCCCCAATTCTGAAGATTAGGGTTCTTGCTCCGATATCTGTTTCAAGGGGTTCTTCGTCCAATTGTTTCTACACATACCAATTCGTTTGATTCCTTTATGATTCTTCCTTTCCCTCCTCTGAACAACAATCCCATCAAGATTTCGATTCCTTTCAAAATTCGTCCGGCTTTGTTCACTAGGGCATCTTTGATTTTCCTATTAATCATCGCTCTGGTTCTCGTTGTTTCTCCCGCCCCTACGAAACCTATTGTCAGTGTGAAGAACAAGCCGGAAATCAAAAACTCCACCGCCATGAAGGTCCACCCATTGCCGAGGAAGCGCAATATCACCGTCCGGTATAACCCCAATTCGAGGAATTCTCTCGAAGATCAGTCCCATCTGAACCACAAGAAACTAAGGAGGTTGCCTCATATCTTCAGTCGGGTCCTCSAGCTCCCTTTTCGATCTGATGCCGATGTTTTGATCGAGGAGAATCCCGATTGTTTCCGATTCATTGCCGAAACCGACGGCAGCATCAGCGATGGAGTAAGGGCTCATGCCGTGGAAATCCATCCTGGGGTTATTAAGATCGTCGTGCGTGAAAGTGGGTCGGTGGAAATGGCAATGGATGAACTGGAATTAGACATGTGGAGGTTCCGGCTGCCGGAGACCACGCGGCCGGAGCTTGCAAGTGCGGCGTTCGTCGACGGAGAGCTCATTGTTACTGTCCCGAAGGGGAACGAGGAGGAGAGCTCTGAAGATGATGATGGAGGAGATATCTGGGGAGATGGGAGCGGGAGTTTCAGAGATGGCATGGGAGGTCGGCTTGTTCTTGTACAGTAAATTAAATCCTTTGCCCTTTGTTTTTTGTACTAACTGTTGGAAATTTCCTTCTTCATCATTATTAATGCTGTTCCAGATTTCCTGTTAGTTCCCTTTGCTGAACCAGTTAACCAATTAGCCCAAAAGAAACTTAGAAACAAAAACCGAATTGCTTCCCATCTGAATGATTTATCCATCACAGACATAAAACCTGGAAACACTGATCCTTTCCCCGATGATAGTTTGCTTTAGGATTTGTTTGAACTTCTAATAAACTTGCGTATGCAATTTGAACTCCATTTCTTTGAGGGTACTTTTTATGTCAATGGTTATCTGTTGGCCTGAATGAATCAAAATATAACAACAAATTACTGATAACTCAATTGGATAGTTCCACACTGAAGATGGTTTAAAGAAAAAGTAGTTCTCAACTCATACTCTCTCCCTTGGCTTTCATTTCTTAATTGTCAATAAACGGTTCTGATATATGATAGTTAATGCATTTCCTTAGTGGGTTAGCCATTTTTGTAAGACATCATTTTCTCTCTTTTTTTTCTTTTTCTCTTTTCATTTGCGTGTGCCTCAATCACTTGTCCTTCTCTGTGGTTTGGAAAGTCTTGCTTCTTTCTTGTCCATTTATGGGTCCTATATGTGGCCATATGTTCCTTACTTTTAGCCTTTAAAACATGATGGGGCGCTTTTCATGCTAGCCAAAGACTACATAAAACTCATCTTTCTAAGCCTTTTGACATCTGCCACGTTTAGGTTGGCTATTATTATTCCTAAATCCTAACTGCTTGCCTATTCTCATTCCTTAGATCTCCTTTTTTCTTTGATGGTTGACCTGTTCATTAGAGCTGTCTTCATGCTCTTTGATATCCTTATTTTTTTAATGTTTCTGTGGGTCATGGTATGGTATGGTATTGGTAGAAGAATTGCAGAGGAAATGGTATGGTATGGTATGGTATGGTATGGTATGGTATGGTAATGGTATGATTTTCCACTGGGTGTTGATGAGGTTACTGATACATTTGTAGTTGGTGTATATAATTTTTTTAACCTTCAGAGAGAGAACTATTAAGTATTTGGGGTTAAAGTTTATCCTCAAGTAAATCTACTATTTTCTTGGCATTAGGAATGATATTGAATACCATCAGTTAATTTTTGATTGCTTATGTTCCTCTCTTCGTTTTTCTCCAATTCATGAGAGATCTATCCAAATAATGGGATCTCTTTCTACATATATATAGAAGTCCTCATTTCAAAAGCTAAAATAGAGGATTTTAAAATGTGTTTTATGGTAGGAAGATGGGTATAAAATTTAATTACACTTCAAATATCAACTTATATCTGTTCATACCAATGGTGTGGTTGTTGATATAAGATGCGATATCCTGAATTTCCTCATCATCCACATCAAAGTAAAAAATTTCTCTAGTGACAATTTTAGGGTTTTGATTGCAAAATTTTGACACCTTTTTTCATTCGATAGATTATTGTCAAGTTGGAACTTTGAGACTCTCGTATCATTTTTTTATATACATAATAGGATTCTATATTGACCCATTGAACTCTATGAATAAAATAAGAACATCTTGTATGTTCTAGGTTTGAATACTATTTTGGTTTTTGTACTTTCAATTTTAGTTTATTTTTATCGTATTTTTTAATTTTGTTCATTTTAGTTATTGTACTTTTAAAACGTTTTAAAACGTTGGGACATGGAGGCTTATTATTTTGGTTTCATGTAGTTGAGCATGTGAATTTAGGCATTGGTCTCAACTTTCATCATTCATTCTATCCTCGGCATTAAGTATCGGTTTTGTGTAATAATTCTTTTGGACTTAAAATGATTGCATTGCATTGGCCCACAATCCCCACTGCCACAGTATAATATGGCACTCATCCTCTCTCCTCCCATAATAATGGCTATTATTTTGATAGAAATGGTTGCTTCAACATAAAAGTGAGTCCTTAGGATTGTTTTGTTCTCCTCTGATTTTGTTTTTAATAAATAACTTTATAGTTTCATTTATGAAGACATTTTTTAAACAGTGTGTAAATAATTAAAAGTTATTATGTACTTAAATTACTGATTAGGAGTCAATTTTAATCAAAAGAATAACTTCGATTACTTTAGAACCATTCATTTAAGCTTTCTTTATAAACTTATAATTGGAATACATTGTCTTAAGCTTTGGGTTTAAGATTGTATAAGAGGTGGACTTTATAATATTTATTTATTTTTTTGAATACTATTGGCTTAATTTTATAACTTTAAACTATACAAATATGTCATAAATCCCTTTGGGGATATCAAATATGTCATAGTACAGTGGTCCCCTATTCCTATTCAACACACGCACAAATCAAAAAATGGTCCAAATCTATTATAAGTCGCCGTGAACATAGTTCATCAATGCTTAACTTCTTTTAAGTCCAAAGTTTCTATAATTATATAATATCCAATAACCAGATACATTTCATTATTCTTTATTTTGCACCACAATACTAAAGTTCCCTTCATTTATACATTTATATTCGGTGGAGTAAAAAAGGTCGCACCGAGACTTTCGGGGCTAAAAATTAAAAAGAAAAAAAAAACCCGACCTTAAAGACTAATAATAGCACATCAGTACAAAAATCTCAAATATTATTTGTTTGGAAAAACATAAAAAACAATTTCATTTTACCATGGTCTTAACAGAACAACAATGACTTAAAAGACATTCGCATGGATAGAAAAGCCAAATGATAAGTTTTAAGCAATGAAAGTTAGCCGACCTCTAATTTTGTCGTCAATAGAAACAGTCATTCGCACGTCCACAGTAGGATCATCATCCTCATAAAGAAAATAGCACTTTCCACGAAGCTTCCTTATGTAATAAATGGGATTATGTCTTTTTTCTTACAAAAAATAATAATAATAATAATATTTTTGGGCAAATCAAAAGCTGCATGCAGTGATACAAAGCCTGTTCCTTGCTGAGCTCCACTGAAAGCCAACAAAAAGCAAACCGTCAGCTAATAAACGCACCAATGGTGTTGAAAATTTGATATGAAGGCCTACCCTCAACCTCCCAAAAACCTCTACTCTACACTCTTTGGCAACTCCACTACTGCATAGCTTTAGTATTTGCTTGCTGAATCCAGCCATTTTCATAAAGCTGGCATCATATTTCCAAACCAAGCAAGTAAACTCTACTTGAGGAGTTGAGATGCCATTCGATATTGTACACTTTGCTTCATGTGAAGCCATATGGTATACAGCAAAAACTATTGGAGCTTGTATAAGATCAAATGAACCAACGTGGTTCAATGAACTTTTGCCTCTACTCAACTTCCAAACCGAATTCCTCCTTGAGAATACCATTTGGAGTCATTCCAAATCCATTGGCCACATTTGCCATTCTCTTGAGTTTCTTTACTTCTCGTTTTACTTGATCCACTCTATTTATTACATTATTCAGGAAAGAATTTTGTCCAGTTGATGATGTTTGACGTCTGAGTTCAGTTTGCTCCTTGTCAAGTTGCTGGAATAGATTTAGTAGATAATTTTTATGCAATCGAAGCTTTTCTTCTGCTAAATTGTACTCGAACTCTTGTGATCTTTTGAGTGCCTGCAGAACCTGATCGATCTCAGCTTCAAGTTTTAGGGACTCGGTCCAATGATCAAAAGGGGTGGACACAGTCCAGTCTGAGTTTATAATGGAGCCTGAAGTGTCGTGAGAACCTTGTATGGAAGTATCAGCATTATCAGCTGCATCTGTGCATAAAAATACAACATTCTCTTAACAGGACGCAAAATCAAGGAAATGAGAGATTGATGGTGTAAGTGGTTGGTGAACATACTGGTTATTTGGCAGATTATCTAATTAACCACTTAAGAGACATTGTTCTCAAGAAGAATTTGCTCAAGTATGCAGAATAATCAGACCCTATTTTCATGTGGGGTCTTCCTCCATAGTTATCAAGGGCAGGGATTTGAAGAAAAATTACCAGTGCAAATAGCTGAGATTTCTTCCTCCATCTTCCAAATCTCTTCTAAGCAAGTCCCAGTTTTAAGCTGATGCAAGCATTCAATGTCAAATAGCATGGTTAAGTTCCAGGAGCAGTTTCAGCCTAACAAATTGTAAAATTATCTGGTAGTTGTAGAACTTATCTGTTTTACCTTTGAAATAATCAACTCAATATGTCTTAGCAACTCCTTTGCTCTCTTTTTCAGCGAACCACGCAAAATGCAGACACCAATGCTTAAGATCTTCTCAATATCATCCCGAGAATCAGTTGATTGACATGACTGCAAAAATCCTTGAACATGTGATACCAAATCTGTTCTAGCATCGCAACGCCGACAATAATACTCAGCATCCAACCCTATGCTTCCTCCGACTGTCCCAGCCACATAAGATCGAAGACCACATATTATATGAGCATGATGTCCGCAAATATAACCATCACCCACCTTTGCTTCACACTTTATGTAGCTATAACTTCCATTGGTTGTGTCTATAATCTTGCTGCAAAGAATACAGCAGCAATCATGGCAAAACCGAGGTTCGCTGCAGCAAATATCACAGGACATGGATTTTAATAAAGCTGGGTTTTCTGCAGCAGATAAACTACTACAGTCCTTGTTTCCAGCCTTACAACCCTCTAGATCAATCTGGGAATCAGATGCTGAGCATTCTGTCTTCTCTTTTGAGGGTAATGGGAATGGAACTTGTTTGGCTCGACTCCCTAAAACATGATAAAACTGTAAAACTAGGATGGACGGCATGTAGTCAACTTTAAAAGATCAATAAACAATTTTTATGCGTGCGCGCACACACAAAAGAAAAGAGATGTGAGATATCCATGACAAGTCAATATCAACAAACAATCACATACACCCATCTTGCAAATATAATAACTAATGATATGAAATTAGTTATGGACAACACTGCTTTTGACAAAATGGTACAATAGAACTATGACGGATCCCCTTGAGGTCCAGGCCACCTACTTGGATTTGGATAGCACAAATCTAAGCTGCAAAATTCAGAAACAGGAGAAAATCCTAACCTGTACAGCTGTTAGCCATTGATTCGAAGAAAAAAAAGAACCAAAGAATCAGATCTAATTTCTGATAAGTAAAGACGAGATGCTAAAACTAAGATATAGAATAAAGTTAATGAAACTACCGCTAAATTTCCAATATAGGATAAAAAGTGAATGATCAAATTTATTAATCTAACCTTGTGCGAAAGATGACTTTGTTGCTGGTATCTTCCAGCTGAATGAAGCAAAAAATGCATCAACGTCTGCATTAGGGAACTCAGACTGGATAAATCTTTCCACTGAAAGCTTGCTTGCAAAACCTTGCCCTCTACGAGTTGAGTTCTCAGGAAGAGTAATATTGCGAGGAGGATAAAGGTACCTATCCAAAAAATGGCCAGTTATAGCAACTCTCTTCCCCACTCTCCAAGTCCAGTTATCACCAGGATTGGGCCAATTTTCAGGAGCATATGGCAATCCCTCCCCAGATTCATCTTGAGAAACTGGTCTAAGGATCAGATCACTTTTATTTACCCTATGCGTGCTCCCATTTATATCCTCAAGAACTTCAGTCTCCACAGGATCCCCTGACATCTAAGGGTGGTTGAGAAAGGAACCTATAAACACAGTCACGGCAATACTATTAACAATCATTTTTTTTTTCTTTAGAATAGAACCTATAAGCACATGCAATACCATTAACATTCATTATTAGAAACTGGCAACTCATAATGCAAAACCATGCAGATAACTCTCAGTTCTTGTTATCCTTTCTTATCTGTGATCAATTTCCAGAACAAACAAAAGGTATTAAGATGAGGGAGAGAACAGAAGGAAAAGAAAATTATACATGCAAGGGAAACAATGCCTTAAAAGGTTGTTCAACATGCAAGAATTGAAATGCGAAGCCTAGGATTATGACTTAGTTATTTATTATAAGAGATATAATTATATTTTAATTAATTAATTAATTAAATTTATTAACAATGTCTGTTTCGTCACACACTTTAAAATTAATTATGCCTAATTAAAAAATGAACAATTTTTTTTTTTTATAACATGTGGGAGTGAGAGATTGAACTTACAACCTCTTGGTTGGAGATATATTTCGATGAGCTATGTTCGTTTTGACAATTAAAAATGAATAATTAAAATCAAAGAATATTATATTAAGTAATTAATTTTTATGTTAATTATTTTTAATCTGCCCACAGATAACATGTGTTAGGATGCCAATGCTGATTTCCTCCCTCAAGACATACCAAATCACTGGCTCACAGTGTTTATGCAAACAAATGAAGTCTTGAACATGGTCTTATTAAGACATACTTTTTCTACTTGGGTGGGAGAGTTTAGCAACCGAAGACATATTAATTTAGCTAATTTGAAACTAGAAGAAATCCTTCACAAATGCATTACTGGACCAACATAATTCACCATGACATTGTTTCTCATTTTTCATTTACTTCTTTTTTTGTTCCCAATTTTTGATATATATACACACACATGTACATATGCTAACTGTTCAGCTTTCTTATTCCTATTTTTGAAAAGCATTCCCAAAATTGTATGCAAATTTTGAAAACTAACAAAATCTTGGTGATAATAAAAAACATAAATCAAAGCATTATTTTATCATTTTTACTCACAAAAGGCATGATAAATACTAAAAAAAGGAAGAAAAAAATTAATATGACATAATAATTTGAATAATTTATTTTTTAAAAAATCACTTTACATGTAAAGTTTTAAAGTTTTAAAATTTTAAAATTAAAACTTGAGAGCTTTTTTTTTTTTTTGGTGACAAAAAGAAAAACTTGTTTTTTCTTTCTAAAAAATAGGAAACAATAAATGAGATCAAGAATCGAGAATAGGATCATAACCAAACCGCCCTAAATAATTCCCTACCTCTTGCAAAAGAGGATTTTCAAACTTAACTCACGGCTAAGCTAATCAATGAAGATCGTCGATATCATGAAGCTCACCTCGAAGAATTTAATCAGACATCCGGCGAAGTTTAGGGTTTGCGCTGTCCAGCAGTCATCTCTTCACCTTCACCTGCAAAACACGGAGGAAACGAAGAAAATGTAAGCAATACACAAGAGACTCAAGCGCTGAGTGAATCCAATAACTATGGAGCGACTAAAAGAAACGTAATCAAACAGAAACAGTGCTCACATTGGAGAGAGAGGTAATGAGAGAAGAGAGAAATTTGGCAGAGAATTATTTTCGCGGGAATGAGAATAGTCAGTAGAACACAGCGCAGGTTCCTACCGCCGCACGACGGAGAGAGAGAAAAGGGGGCAAATGGCTCAACGCCTTTCGGTGTCTTTGATGGGCCACGAAATACTGTGCCTGAAGGCCCATATGATAAACAGGCCCAATTGAGTAATCTTTGAATAATTTTAGGTTAAATTACAGGCTCCCTTACACTAATCTTAGAGTGGTATCAAAATGTCAACTCTAAGATTGTCTAATAGGTTCATTCCATGTTAAAGTTCACAACACAAAATTGAGGAGATGATTTTGTTAGATACATCATTTTTGGGATAAAATTAAGGTCGACGGACCTGACTGACAATCTTATCTCTTTTGAATTTACTTTTAAAAAGTAAGATAAGATGTGGCCGATAAGCAAGACAAAACCCCTATCTCTAGCGAATTTTATCAACAACGAAAGAATTCTAAAATAAATCCGGAAAAATAAATACTCATAATTACAAACGAACAAACAGCTTTACAAAAGCAAATAAAGATAGATCTGCATTATATGAGGCATCTTCCACTTTATCATTGGGAAAGTAGTTTGACGATGTCACCCAATTTTCTTACAACGTCTAAACATGCCACCATGCATCCCACTATTGAAGCATCTTTTGGAGTATCTCTAGACTTTTCTCGACAAATTGCATAGGCAAAGAATGCGACTCCCCGTGAAAACATTGGGAAGCCTACGGTCTTGGTCAGGTACCAACCTCTTTTACAACCGAGTCAAGCAAAAGGTTCAAAAGCCAGCACCGATCTAAGATTTAGAAAGTGAAATAAAACTCTAAATAAGAAATAAGAGAAGATCGATCAAACTAATAAACTTGGAGGCTGCAGTAGAATTGGTACATCAAGAGCAAAATATCCTAAAGTCAAAATTGAGGATTCGTATCCACGAAGACGTCTTCAATAGCTATGATAGTGAAGGTACAACTTCTCATGCCATTGATAATACAATAGAACAAATAAATTACATAGCCCTATCAAAAGAGGAGAAAAAGTTGAGAAAAAGATGCTTTTTCCTGGTGAAATGCAAATTGGATTCATGTAACAAGAGGAAGGTTTTTCATTTAATGAAAAAAGATGTGGCCATGAAATAGGGATTAAGTGGAACAGAATTGACTGGGTGGTAGAGTCGTGAAAATACCTGTTTCTTCCATGTTTTTTACCTTAGCTTCCCTTCCAATGATCAATAAACTATTATTGAAACATGGAAGAATTGAAATCCCAGTTATGTATGGATGGTATGAACTACCTAAACAATATTAATAATTATAATAGAAAACAAAATCAAAAATGGAATTCATTGATCATTATTAAAGTTGGTGATTACAAAATCCAAGCGGATTGTGTAGATCAAAAAGTTATTTCTATCATTTTTATTTGTTGTCTCCCTCCTCTATTTCAATTAAAATAAACACAACTACATTTCATAACCGTTTGTTATTTCCTGCTTTTTTTTCTTTTTACTAAAAATTAAACAAAAATAGGTTTGTTAATCATTTATTATTTACTGTGCCGTAAAATTTTAGATTAAAAAAGTAAAACTCCTCTATGAAATTTAGTTTTTAAATTAAATATTCAAAATATTTATGCTATAAATACTTTTTTAATTTGTAGTATGCATTTTAAAATAATAATGATAAAATAATTTTTTTTATATATTTCTAAAAAAAATGGAAACAATAACATCACACAAGAAACTTCAAGGACATTTAGTAACCTTCTTGTTTATTGTTTCTAATTTTTTTTTTTCGAAATATAAGCTTTTGATAATTGTGTCTGTTTTTAAAAAAACATTCCAAAAATTATGTTGAAATTTTGGAAACAAAGAAATCAAGTATATCACCATCAATTAGGCAGAAGTTATGTATACATTTTCAAAAATGAATTTTGTTAATTAATAGGTCGGATTTTATTCATGAACCGAATTGGATTTCATGTATTAAATAACATCTATGTTCACTCTCTAAATATGATAACAAAACAATAATTTAAAATTTTATCTTAACAAATTTTAACTACTTTACGTGTAGAATGGTTTAATTGAGAATTTCTAATTGAGAATTTCTAATACATTAGATCAAATTGATAAGTGATGATCGTATTGTATATTTAATCTAAAATATATTACGAAAGTGATAAAAAAAATAACTCAACTATAACTAACACCTACTCCTCCCCAAAAGTTAGAACCCATATCCCAATTTGTGGTATTAAAAATAATAGTATAATCTAACCTATATTTTATCACCCTCTTCAAAACTCTTTTTTTTTTTTTATCAAAATATTTAAAACATGGAGGATGATGAATGAATATTCCATTTACAGTGTTTGAATTTTGAACTTAATCATAAGAATTCCCATAACATTTCTGAATTCTACCAGCCTTCAAGCCCTTGGCAATGCGATGCCGATGTTTTTTCTTATGAACATTGATTCTATTTTCTAGCGACTTCCCTGCAAATGTTCTTCGTATATCATCATCAATTGCTCTGCTACCTGCTCGAATTTTCATCCAAGAATGGACTTCTCTTTTAATCTTATTGTAATTTCAAATGTCGTAATCCAACAATTGCAACTGCGGAAGTTTACCTGTTCGATGCTGCCATCTTCAATCTCGGTGTTGAAGGAGAGTAACAAGCTCTCATGGAGCAAATTTTCCAGATCTTCCACGTACAGAGGAGCTGCAAGAGAAGGATAACGCATTAAGAACAGAAGCAAATCAAGAAAATTCAGAAGGTAATTTTAATGGCTGCCGGGAAAGGGATAACGACGTTTGGATCGAGAGAACCAAGAGAAGACATCGGAGGCGAGATTCAGAGATTTCTGGTGAGAGTCGCGACCGCCCCATTGGTTTTGAATGGCCATTTGAAGTCCGTCCCACCGAGAAAATACCGACGAAATGGCCGTTTGGAGGCCGGAGACAGATCCGGCCTTGTAGTTGGTGGAGGCTAATCCGTCACTGGGCTCCATGGATGAACCTCTGAGCTTCGTCTTCGTCTTCTCCGTCCTCCAGACCCTCGAAATCTTAGTTTTCTCTCTCCTCTAGTTATCAGAGAGGGAGAGAGAGAGAGGGAGCGGTTGAATTTAGAAATTATGTCAGAATTTAGCGGAGAGAGAAGCGGAAATTTGTTTGAATGGAAAGAGAGAGAAAGAGAGAGAAAGAAAGCTTCGTGCCTTTATAAATCTTCAAATAATGGAGCTCAGTTCTATGGCTTCTGGAATTCCCGCCAAATCCAACTGAATCGGAGTAGCTTCATAGAGGAAGATTCTCCAATCGAACATGAAACGATGGCAAAATTGCTCTCTCTTCTTCTTTTTTCTGCTTCATCAATTCTAATCAATACAGATCATGATCTTCGGCAGTAGCCAACCATGCCATTTCTCTCGCCAAACTCGCTCGCTTCACTCGTCGAATTGGCCGTATCGGCTCGTTCTTCGCTTCTCGGCCGAGCAGCCCACGCCCAGATTCTCAAAACCTTGCAAACCCCTCTTCCTTCCTTCCTCTACAACCACCTTGTGAATATGTACGCCAAACTCGATCATCCYGACTCAGCCGAACTCGTCCTCGGACTCGCCCCTTGCCGGTCCGTCGTCACTTGGACCGCCCTCATCGCCGGCTCCGTCCAAAACGGCCATTTTTCTTCTGCTCTACTTTACTTCTCCCACATGCTAAGCGACTGTGTTCGCCCCAATGATTTCACCTTCCCTTGCGCTCTCAAAGCTTCCACTTCCCTTCGCATGGCCATGTCGGGCAAACAGATACACGCACTTGCGGTTAAGGAGGGACTAATAAACGATGTCTTCGTTGGGTGCAGCACCTTCGACATGTACAGTAAACTGGGTCTTCTCGAGGACGCATCCAAGGTGTTTGTTGAAATGCCTCACCGAAACCTCGAAACGTGGAATGCGTATATATCCAATTCCGTGCACCATGGGCGGCCTGAAGATTCCGTCATTGCATTTCTTGAGCTACTTCGTGCTGGTGGGAGCCCTGATTCCATAACATTCTGTGCTTTTCTCAATGCTTGTTCAGACAAACTGGGCTTGGAGCCTGGATGTCAGCTACATGGATTCATAATTCGAAGTGGTTTTGAGCAGAATGTCTCTGTTTCAAATGGGTTGATTGATTTTTATGGGAAATGTGGGGAGGTCGAATGTTCCGGGATGGTTTTCGACAGAATGGGAGAGCGGAATGCCGTCTCGTGGTCCTCTCTGATAGCTGCTTACATTCAAAACAACGAGGAAGAGAAGGCTTGCTGCTTATTCTTGCAAGCGAGGAAAGAAGACATCAAACCAATTGATTTTATGGTATCGAGTGTGCTTTGTGCCTGTGCTGGCCTTTCAGGAATCGAGTTGGGGAGGTCAGTTCAAGCGCTAGCGGTCAAGGCTTGTGTAGAGGAGAACATCTTTGTTGGGAGTGCACTGGTTGACATGTATGGAAAATGTGGAAGCATTGATGAAGCAGAGCGAGCCTTCAAGGAGATGCCAGACAAAAATTTGGTGTCTTGGAATACACTGTTGGGCGGATATGCACACCAAGGACACGCAGACAAGGCCGTGGCATTGCTCGAGGAGATGACATCGGCAGCAGGCATGGCACCGAGTTACGTGAGTTTGGTCTGTGCATTATCAGCTTGCAGTAGAGCAGGAGATTTGAAGAGGGGGATGCAGATTTTTGAGTCCATGAAAGCAAGGTACAATGTAGAGCCAGGGCCAGAGCATTACGCTAGCTTGGTGGACTTGCTTGGGCGTGCTGGAATGGTGGAGTGTGCGTATGATTTTATAAAGAACATGCCATTCTCTCCAACAATCTCAATCTGGGGCGCTCTGTTAGGGGCTTGTCGAATGCATGGGAAGCCAGAGTTGGGAAAGTTAGCCGCTGAGAAGCTGTTTGAACTTGATCCAAAAGACTCTGGAAACCACGTTGTGCTGTCCAATATGTTTGCTGCAACTGGCAGGTAACTAACCCAATTCGAAACTCCATAGAAATCTTCAAGAACTTGGCTTTTATTTCTCAAATTCTTTGAACTGTTTTAAGTTATAAATTTAGTCCAAATTTGAATGATGGTGTATAGTTAGCCTTTAAACTTAAAAAAATTCYAAGGATGTGAAATCACTTTTGCCATTGCAAGTACACTTTTCTTTTCATTATAGTAAATTAAAAAATTGATTTTTAGGTATCACTTCGATGATATTTTCAAAATTATTAATTCTACCCTCACCTTCCAACACATCCTAAAATGTTTCTAAATTTTGAATCGTGGTTTTAAATAGTCTTTAATTAATAACAAAGTTKGTTGGTTTAACGCCATATAACAGAAAAAAGTGGACAGCGGGGTAATAAAAAGTGTCATATGTAACATGCTCTTCTTTTTTTAGCAACCTATCATATCTTGTGTTAGGTAATGCTATTAACACCGTTCAAAATTTATTTATTGTCCATTTTCTTTTGGTATTTATTTATCATGTCGTGTCAAAATCAATAAATCCTTTGTTTTAATATGCATGTCATGCCATCGATATAATATCTCATTTCAAAGTTTAGTTAATAGTAAAAACTTCTTAAGGTTTGATGTCTAATAAACACAATCATCAATAAAGGAATTATTTTCAGTACCAATTTGGTAAATTGATTGAGAAGTGAATTCAGGTGGGAAGAAGTGACTGGTGTAAGAAATGAGATGAGAGAAGTCGGGATAAAGAAGGGAGCTGGATTCAGTTGGATAACCGTAGACAGCAGAATTCATATATTCCAAGCCAAAGACAGAAGCCATGAGAAGGACTCTGAAATTCAGGACCTGCTGGGGAAGTTGAGGAAGGAGATGCAGGAAGCTGCTGGATACATTGCCGRCACCTATTATTCTATTTTTGAAGTGTAGAATTATTAAATCAGAGAAATATCACCAAAGTTTGGCTGTCACCATCACAGCAATATATGCTCTTGATGTTGGCCCCATTGCCTACCAATTATTCTAGGTACTGAAATTATTTTTACTGAGCAATATCCAGAATCATCAATGATATTTATTTTTCTGGAGATYATTTGAAAAGTTTCCTTTATTTCCTCTCTGTGTTTCTTTTCTTTCCAAATTATCTCATTGTAACTTGTATCTTGTAACAGTAATAGTTAACTTTTTTTTACAATCTATTTTCACTTGATCAAGTTTTCTAACATCAATTTATCTCTGTGGTTGAATGTTACTAGAAAATTTTCTCTCGTGTAATTTTCTTCCTGTAACCTACTCTATAACAATCAACTCTCTAGTATTAAAAGATGTCTCTAGCAGGTCAATATACCCTAAATTGTGATGGTCAGTACTTAATTTTCTATTGTGAGAGTGTGTTCAGAATTTAGGGAAAATTTTTCCAATATATTTGCAGAAACTGCCATCTGTACACAGAAAGCAGCTCTCTGAATTTCTCAAGCTTTAGGAGATCGCCATGTGTGCAAAAACATGGTGAAATCTCCATCCTTTCTCCTTCCCTATTTCAACACTTGTCTGAACATGCACCCCCCACCGCCATTAATCCCTTCAAATAGCTGAGAAACCTAGCTACCTCACGGCGTCGTTTTCTTTTCTTTTGGT